AAGCACTTCCCAGAGAGGCCTCGCCTGCTTTAGACCCGAAATGCCCAGCCCTGCTCGGAAAGGAGCGGATCCTGGCAGGGCCCCGGCCCTTCTGGGCCTGAGCCTAGACCGGGCCCCGGGCAGCTCAGCGTCCCCATCTCCCTTCATTACATCTGCGTTCTCAGCAGCCTCCCTGAACGCGGGCCAACTGGGGGCACACACTCGTCAACCTGGTTTCAAGTCAGCTTTCAAAACGACAAAGGGAGACTCGTCCGCACAGGCCTCACTGGCTAACCCAGCCGCCCATCTCCTCCCCGTTGGCTGGAGCCCAGCAACTCCGCGCAGGAGCCTTGGTTTCCTGTGGTGTAAGTTTTTTATTAGAATTGTTCAAATGAGGCAATCAAATAATTATCTGAAAATGGGATTTGTTTACTTGGGAGACTCAAGTTATGTGTTTCACGGAAGCAGAAATAATTAAAGAACTTCCTGGTCAGGGGAAGGTGAATTATTTCATCACTGTTTCCTTTTCCCCCTGTCTGTTGGGGAGCAAGGAGCAGGCTGTGGTGCAGCGGGCACAAGGTCGCTGTGCTGTGAGCCCGGTGCCCCCCAGACCTGCATGTGCACGGAGTCGCTCGGGGACCTCTTCTGAGTCTGGGTCAGGAGGTCTGGGTGGGCCGGAGACTCTGCATTCCGGGGCGCTCCCAGGGGACGCAGGGCTGCTAGTCGGGACGCGCTCGGGCAGCAGGCTGTAGAGGGGGGTCTGGACTCAGCTTTGCTACAACGCTGTGGACAAGTCCTCACTGACCTTTCCTCTCCTGCACAGTAGGACGTACCGGCTGGTCTCCGCCACGCCAGGCTGGTGGCAGAACAGCCTCAAGGTCATCCCAGACCTTGGTGGCCTGCAGATGCAGAGCCCAGGGCCCTCGGTGTGGCCTCTGCCAGCTCCCACTCGGCTAGAAAGCTCAGCTCGGCCCCTTACCTTTGCGTCACCTTGAATGGAAAATGGACCGTGGGCCACCGACTGCGGATCTTCCCAAGAATACTTGAGACGGCTCAAGTGTAAGGGCCTCAGCCCGGTTTACTCCCTAAAAAGGGACAACACTGGGCACAAGAGTCACCCCTCAGAGCAGCAGAGCAGCTTGCTGACTCGCTGCAGAAGCCAGTGAGGGACATGCCCGCTCTCCCCTTCCGTTGTCCCCGCAGTGTCCTGGGTCCCAGGAAGCCTTGAGCAAACTTCTCAGAGATGCGCCACCCCAGCCCGTCCTCCAGCTGGGGGTCCCCAGAGCCACCTATGTCCTGTACCTTCGAGTGAGACGAGCAGACAGACACTGTACGTACACTGGGACCCTCACCAGACCCCACCCTGCTCGTCCGACTCCCCTCACCGCTCTGGTCTCGCGCAGGCTCGGAGAGCCTCACCTTCTGCGCAGCCGCCACCTGCTCCACTCTGACCCGAGCCGGGAGGTAGCTGCTAACTCGTCACACAGTCCAAGCTCGAGTGAGCTGCGGGGCGGCGGCCCGTCTTCTCCACACCACGCTCCTTTCAAGCCTGCCTTTCCAGGACTCTTCTTCCCTGCTTCCTTTTCCTGAGTTATGTATTATATACAATAAAATGCACACATCTAGTTATAGCTCTAAGCAGTTTTAGATTTGTACGTCCTCAGCCCAGTGGAGCTAACGTTCCCATGGCTCCAAAGGCCTCCTCCGCAGTGCAGTTCACCCCCACCAGTTGCTGCCAGAGGTCCCCATATTGTACTATGGCCATGGTCTCGTTCCCCCAGAACCTCATTTCATCCTCACCGTTATCTGCTTACAAACACAAGACAAGCTGGTTGGTCTTCCTAATCTGGCCCAGCCTGAACCCCACACCCCGTGAGTGGGCGCGGCAGGGGCTGCGTGTCCCCATGAACTGGGTGTGAACGTGGACGGTGTCGTGTGTGGCGTGCACAGGACACACCTCCACAATGAACATGTGGTGGCTCCTTGAAAGCAAAGGACCCAAAGTAAACTTACTTTTTCACTGACTGCATATCTGGTATCAAGCAAAAAATGTTTTTAAACGTTGTGTAATAATGGGATGGCAGTTATGACTTTAGAGCTGGAGTGGGTGTCTTTGGAGACACCTGCACATGCAGGACTGGGTGGGATGGGGTGGGTGGAGGTACAGATGAACGAGGCCGTGCTCGTAACTATTAAAGCTTGGTGATGGTATATCAAGTTCATTAAACTATTTTGCTCAGCATATAGTTTTAAATTTCACTATAAATAAAGAGAATTCAAGTTTTCTTTCAATTAACTATCCAGAGATACTCTTCTGAGATAGTACACAGGATGAGTAACTTTTAAGACCCCCAGGAGGGGTGACATTAGCCCATCAGACATCAGACACCTGTGAGAATCCAGACCAGTCAGTGTCGCCCGGGGCGATGGATCGGGTCAGGCGCCGCCTCTGACCTCCAGGGCTTCCCTGCACTCAGCGGAGCCTGCTGGGAAAGGAACGTGGCCCTGGCCCCTTTGCCCACCTCACTGCCCACGGGGACTCACGAAGCTGCTGTCAGGCCGGCCCCTGCTGTTCTCGAGCGTCCCACGCACTCTGGGGCCAGGGTCCTGGTGCTGGAAGCTCCCCGATACTCCCAGGGCTCACTCCGTTTTCAAACGCGGCCCCCTGAAGGAGCCCTTCCTTGACCAACACCCTAACCCTTACCCTCCTCAAAGACTCATTACCATCTGACACCATTTAACAGATTTGCTTCCAGTGTGTCTATCCCATGAAGACAGCTCAGAGGCAGGGACTGGGCCCAGTTCACCCCTGCGTCGCCAGCACACAGGCCGGGGCCTGCGATCAATACCGGCCGAATGGACAAACTAGCAGGCTGACCAGCCAGGCCAGTCTCCAGCCTGGTGTCCCGGGGCTGAGAAGAAAACTTGCTCACCATCTGTTCTCGAATCTACCTTGTAAGCCAACGAGGGCAGGCGAAGGCAGGCACAGAATTGCTGACCATGCCCAGAGCAGCAGAAACTGGCCCCGGGGAATCGGAGCAGCAGACAGCAGCAGCCCCTTCTCAAAGCGACAGTGGGCTCCTGCGGAAGCCAGCAATCCCCGACGGGCATGCCCGAGCCCTGGTACAGCAACCTCCAGCATTTGCTGTCCTGCGCTTTCCATTCAAGCATTCTGAGAATTACCCTCAACAGACTTGTTGCGCGAAAATCCACTAGTTTCATGAGGCCCTGTGCCTACCAAGCCCCTGAGAAAGACCCCCCAGCGGCCTGCTCTTACCATATAATCATGCTCTGAGGTTCTGTGTCAAGACGAAAAGCCCAAGTTTCTGGTTTGGACCTTATTTTTTTCAAGAAACTTTTCTCAAAATTTTTACAAATGTTTTATTGACTTTTTAGAGAGAAAGGGAGAAACATCGATGTGAGAGAGACATTGATGGGCCACCTCCTGCACGCCCCCTACTGGGGATCGAGCCTGCAACCCAGGCATGTGTCCTGACCGGGAATCGAACGGGTACCTCAGTCCATGGGACAATGCTCAACCCACTGAGCCACACCGGCTGGGCACTTTTCTCTAAATTTAATGCCACATAAGAGAAAGCAGGTTTGAATAGCTGATTAAGGCAAGATGACCAAACAGTTCCAGGCTTCGATAGGTGCATGGCGGTGGGGAAGCAGAGAATGTGGGGGACTGTCAGAAGTCAGCGTACTCCAAGGCAGGCTGAAGTGGAAGGGGTGGAGGGACAGTACAGACGCGTATGACCAAACTCCTGCTGACACCTCTGTCAAGCAAGCTCCGAATCACCACCCTCATCAAATGTGACGGCACCCACCCCTTCCTGAGCACTGCTGGTGCCGTCCACGGCGTCGAAGCCTTCGCGTCAGGGTGACCTGGGACCGCAGTGCATCAGCATTCTAGGCTGCGGGTTAGGGAAGCGAGGCTGCGGGAGGTTAACTCGGCCAGCATCGCGGGGATTCAACTAGGTTGGTTTCAGTGCAGCGAGTTCCCGAGGAGCACCGGCCACGGCGGGGAGCGCAGGCTGTGGGTGGGCGGTGCCCACCGACCAACACCTGCAGTGGGAGCCCATGATCCGCCACCCGAGGACCCTGACTGTGGTTCCCAGCTCCTAGTGGCTATTCTCAGAGAAGGAAGTTTATCCAATAACATGCCCCAAATGATGCCATCATTCAATCACAGGTGTGTGTCTCGGCAGGGGTGAGGAGACAACAGAAGTTTACCTCGCCAACACATTTTTCTCGAGTTAACCTACTACCTAACCTTGGCAAGGGAGGAGGGGGAGCTATTTTGTGCTACTTTCAATATTTACCAAATTCAGTATATAATAAATATACAAAAATGTAACAAAAGTAAGTCACATAAAAACTAGTAATAGCTCGCCTGGCTGGTGTGGCTCAGAAGATTGAGCATCATCCCACAGACTGAGAGGTCAAGGTTTGATTCTGGTCAGAGCACATGCCCCGGTTTCAGGCTCGATCCCCAGTAGGGGGCGTGCAGGAGGCAGCCAGTCAACATCTCTCACACATTGATGTTTCTCTCGCTCTCTCTCAAAAAAAAAAAAATCAATAAAAACATACTTAAAAAAAACCCAACAAACTAGTAATAGCTATGCTAGTCATGGTAATAAAACTTAACTTGAACCAGAAACAGCCTAAGGAGATCCTTAATACTCTGGAGGTACCCTCTCCCCCACCACTAAACAGCAATTCCTGTGAGGCGGGGGTGGGGAGTGGTGGGCAAGAGAGACTTGCGCTTGATCCATCGTGTCTAATTTTTTTTTAAAGAATACATCTGTGAATTCCTGATATCAGAAAAGATTTTAAAATAATGAATATTGAAAGGAAATGCATCCAAATATTGTTTTCTGGTAGTGAAATAATAGTAATTTTAAAATTTCTTCAACTTTTCTGTATATTACAAATTTTCTCTACTGGGAATATAATTACAGAAGAACCAATAAATTTTAAATACATTTTTTAAGTAAATAGAAAAGAATCATCTCCTAAGTTCTAAGAGTGTTACTAAGGAACACATGGCTGAAGGTTATTAACTACATCTCATTAATAAATAGGAATAGCCACCCACATCATCACAGAGACTGTCATTCGTAACGATGAGTAAAACATGTAAGCTGAAGGGATAAAAACACGTGTGTGGCTGCTCTTATAAAGGTAATTCCCACAACTTGTAGAGTGCTGTATGCAAAAACAAAGTTATTTGGGGGGTGATGGGTTATTTGAAAATTTTCTTTTAACCTTGTATTTAAAACAAAAGATTTTAAAATATCTTATGCAGATGCACTAACAACTCCAAACCCCTTTACTTGGTTCACATTAGCTCACACATGCACTGTCCTGGCATTCTGTGAACCTGGCTCTCACCGCGAGGGTACAGCTACCGCACGGACGGAAGGAAGCACGAAGTGCTCCACGCCCACTGTGGACAGGAGTCTGATAACGTTCAAACAAACAGCGTGTGCTGTTAATTCCATTGGAGTCCGGGGAAAGAAAACACGAACCCACCAACGTCAGATCTGCAAGTGATACTTTGTTGAGAGGCATCCTTGATTTCAACTCCCCAAGATTCACAATTGACAGGATGCCCCCGGGCACACAGCACCCCTGCTTTGGATTCCCAAGGTCACCATAAGCACCCCACGGCAAAGGAACAAGCAGAGACTTGACCAGAAATTGGGACCCAAAGTCTAATCAAGGTCTGGAAGGGCAACGCCTGCATGTCTGGGACTGTCTCCCTCATGCCTGAGATGTGGACGTCATCTCTGAAGTCCATTAGCCTGCTCCTAGCATCCTGAGCCTAAGCCTTTAAACTTGACACTGAAATGAAAAGTGAATAAAAGGTTTCTTCAAAAGCTGCTGGCTCCCTTTCTGGACCATTACACAAGCTCTAACCTGCAACAGCTGAGAATGAGGACTAAATTTCATCTAGGGCAAGCGTGCCGCACTGATCCACACAAATGTTTTGTGGCTTAAAACAGACCCTCTTTTCAAGTGTCTGGCATTTTAGACACTTAGCATCTTGTTACATGAGACGAGTCTTTCAGTATGTTCCTCACCTTGACAAAGCTCCTGGCAAAGTCACTCCAATCTTGCAGCTGTCATTAAGGGACCCACCCCAAGAAAGGATGGCTACTGCATCAGTTTGCTAAAGCTGCTGTAACAAAGTACCACAGACCAGGGGGCTGCAACTAGACGTTTATTTTCTCACAGTTCTGGAAGAAGCCCAAGATCAAGTATCAGCAGGGTTGCTTTCTTCTGGAGGCCTGTGTCTTCACATGGTCTTTGGGTGTCCTAATCTCCTCTTCTTACGAGGACACCAGTCACACTGGGTCAGGGCCCATCCTACCAGCCCCATTTTAACTTAATCACTGCTTTAAAGACCCTGTCTCCAAATACAGTCACATCCTGAGGTACTGGGGTTAGGACTTCCACATATGGATTTTGGGGGACACAATTTAGCCTATAACCACTATAGAGTTCATGATTTTTCTTTTTCACATATTTTGACATGTCTTTAGAGTGGGTTTAAGTAGACACTGCCTGTTTCACGTGCATGTTGAAACAGTCGAAGTGCAGAGAAGCTTGCTCTGATGGGTGCTGCACCTGCTGTGGTGGGCTCTCCTGGAAAACCTTCAGACAGCTTTGCCCTAGGGCAGCAGTCACAGGTGGAAAACGTGAAATTCAGAACAAAAGCCAAAGCTGCTGATTCATTCCATCACTCGGCAACCATTTTCCTAGCCGTGTGCTCAACCTTTTACTGATACATCAAATGATGAGTCTTCACCCAGCCAGATCCAAACCTTGTTCCCTCACATTTTCTCAGGGAAGGTCCCAGGCCACCAGGGCCTGAGGCACGCAGGGTGTGTTATGAATGCAGTCTCTGCATCCTACCCGGCTCAGTGGCTCCAGCTCAGCCCGGGAGCCTGCACTCCAAGCCCCCACCTGTCCATCCATCGCCTGTGGGTGTCTGCCCTACGCACTCACTCTTCACCCACGAGAAATGTCATGCTTGTCCAAGCTGCAATGTGGATTCCACACAGAGCAGTCAGCACAGGCAGAAAGGTAGTCTGCACCACACTCAGGGCAAGAGCCTCGTTTCCACTCGATATGTCATTGAAAATCTAGCACAAAATCACACACACAAAGATCCCTGAAGAAACTAATCTAATGGTTTTCCCCAAACAACAGATTCCCTCCTCGTTAGTCAAACCAGCACCTGCTGAGAGGGCCCGCGATGCAAACCTGACAGCGGTATTCCTCAACGAACAAGACTGCACTCAAGCTTTCCAGTGGACAGCTTAGCTTCGAAGGGCAGACAGCCTCATTCATTAGCCACTAGGAACTCAAAGGGGAGCAAGAGCACTACAGAAATTGTATTCCTGGAAATTCAGTCCCAGAACCTGTATGAGCAAGGGTCCAAGGCACTGGAGAGGCAGCAACACCGACCAGAGGGCCCTGTTCAGCGACAGAAACACATCGGCAATGCGTCTCTCGCGGTGACCTTCCCTGAGGTCCACTCCAGTGGCTAATTTGGTCCTTCAGTCTTGCGATGGCTATTTGGGATGCTTTTGGTTGTAATCTTCACAGTTCCAATAATCTATGTTGGCTGATCCCACAGGTGACACGCCCTGTCAAAAATAACAGATGTTCTCGTGGTATGAAGGCCATTCTGCAGGTTGCATACGTATGTGAGTTGTCTCCTATGGGAGACAAAGTTCCTTCCTCTTCAGCAAGAGAACACGGCACTGGCAATGCCGCTTTGGCTAGCTCTTTCTCCTGTGTTCCCTCATGTGCGCAGCGATTGAACCAGCTATTTCTGCATTCTTCTTGTTCTGGCCAAAATAATCCAGAAATTCACCATCTGGTCCAATCAAGTACATTATTATAGTATGATCCACCTGCAAAGAAAAGGGGGGATGGGGATGACAAAAAGATTACCAAAATAAGCTGCTTATTTTACTGAATAAAGACTGCAGGTTAAGCCCTGGCCGGTTTGACTCAGCGGTTGGAGCGTCGGCCTGCGGTCCGGAGAGACCCAGGTTCGGTTCCCGCTAAGGGCACGTACCTCGGTTGCAGATTGTCCCCGGCCCTGGTTGGTCGTGAGGGTGGCAGCCACTCGATGTGTCCCTTCACATCGATGTTTCTCTCTCTCTCTTCCTCTCTCTCCCTCCCGCTCTATCTGAACAAAAAATGGAAAAATATCCTCGGGTGAAGATTAAAAAAAAAAAAAAAAAAAGACTGCAGGTTAAGAGAACTTCATATTAATGCTTGAACAGCCTTTTGGCACCTATTATTTATGGAATGGGCCTAAGCCTGTTATAGTAAATTCACAGTGACAAATTACCTAAAATCTTTTGTGTTCTAGAAATCTGCACTGACCACTCCTTGAAACATCAGCTAGAATTTGGATTTCTTGTGGTCAATCCTTAACATACCCACATAATCTGAGAAAATACTCCACATCAAGAAACAGCTGCCGCCGGCCTTGGTTAAACAGTCAGAGCTGGCGGACATGCCTGCTTGGGAAGAGCTTACCTTTACCAGCAAAATAGTTCACCTGACCCCTGAGCCCTTGTAGAAAGACGTATCACATGAAATTTAAAAAATGGTGGAGAGAAATAATTTTCTTCAATACGTGCTTGGGCACATTCCTTTGTTTTAGGAAGAATGGGCTGTCATTCATTACCACCTAAATTCTGCTTACCATATTTTAGGAGAAGAAACCAGAAAGCCAACTATTAATATACAATTTATAGGTTTGAACACAGTATTAGCCTTGATATTAGTGATTCAAATGAAACATGAAAACAGGGGTCTTTCTTCCCAGGGAATTTTTACACATCAACAACCCCATTCGAAGCAAAGCCCCAGGAAACTCCTGAGGAGCCGTAAACGCTACGCCTCAAAGGACACCTAAAACCCACACCCACTTTCCAGGGCACATTCTTTCCGCATTCCTAGCTCTAACTGAAGTTCAGACTGGTTCTCTCTTTTAGTTGCATGCTTCCACAAAATCTGATTTAAAACGAGCAGAAGACTTGGCATTTTGAGTCCTGGAATTTACTGCAGGCTTGATTGCTAGTTGGCAAGATTAAGACAGGAATGTGATCATACATACCGAACTGGAGGCAGCCCCCAAATATACCCGGACACATTACATGCCTGTGAGGTAATTATTTTTTATATGCACACATTCACAAAGATGTAGCAAATGGAAGCCACTTGCCCTCACAGACGGAAAGAATGTGCACCAAGAGCTAAAACAGCTGGAGGCCTCATGTTTCTCCCCACATTTAAATATATGTCAGAATTAGGTCTTCAGTTCACCTTCTTTCTCCCTATTCCTTCCTTTTCTTTATTCTCTCTCTCCTTTAAAAATGAAATTTCAGAGGCATGGGGGAAGAGATAAACCACAGAACTTACATGCATGTATGTGTAACCATGGACATAGACAACCATGCTGGGACCAGGGGGTGGGGGCGCAGGATCGGGAGGAGGGTGTCAATGGGGGAAAAACAAGAAACATCTGTAACAAAATTAATTAATAAAAAATAAAATAAAAACAGAATTTCAGTGTATTGGACTTTGTTCTTAATATAAAGTACTTTCTAATACATAGTGAGAATATTATTCTGTTTATGTATGTCACATGTCAATTTGGGTGTGGGCAGAGAAAACTGCCAGTTTCCAGGAGAGAGTACTTTCAAGTTCTAGTGGGTCCTAGCACAGAAAAACCCCAGCCACCTGGCCAGGGCACACGCTCCTGGAGACAGGTATCATACACTTCTACAAACAATAAAATAGGCTCGAGAGGGTAAGATATACAATTGGTAAATGCCAGACCTAAGCTCAGAATCCAGATCTGTCCAATTTCCAAGTCCACAATCTTTTTATATCACCACGTTGCCGCTATCTCTACTGGAGGGCAACACCTCAGTTTTTCTAACGTGCATTTATACACAAACACACACACAACTTTTAATTTTTGAAAAGGTAATATATGCTCATAAAAACGAACAAAAGAAGCACAGTGAATGTACACAATGAAAGTCCCTCTCCTATTTCAGACTCCCAGAGTCCTCAGTTCTCCTTAGAGGGAACCACTGACGTCACTTCCTTCTGTCGTCTCCTAGAGCAGTGGTTCTCAACCTGGGGGTCGCGACCCCTTTGGGGGTCGAATGCCCCTTTCACAGGGGTCGCCTAAGACATAACAGTAGCAAAATTACAGTTATGAAGTAGCAACAAAAATAATGTTATGGTTGGGGGTCACCACAACACGAGGAACTGTATTGAAGGGTCACGGCATTAGGAAGGTTGAGAACCGCTGACCTACAGCATCATTTATAAAAAGACTGAAAACCAAACAACCATTTTTTAGAAGGTTACTATATATGTGCTGATGTAGAACAATGTCCAATATATCATTAAATGAGAAAACAGGTGTAGCGTATTGTTGCTTTTGTGTACAGAGAAACAGGTGATAGGTGGGAAAATAAATAAGTGGATAGAAACTCATCAACATGAGCAGAGAATTTCTCTAGGACAGGACAGTGGTTCTCAACCTCCCTAATGCCACGACCCTTTTTATACAGTTCCTCATGTTGTGGTGACCACCAACCTTAAAATTATTTTTGTTGCTACTTCATAACTGTAATTTTGCTACTGTTATGAATCGCCATCAGAAATATAAGTTTTCTGATGGTCTTAGGCGACCCTGTGAAAGAGTCGTTCGACCCCGAAAGGGGTTGCGACCACAGGTTGGGAACCACTGCTTTAAGGTGTTCCCTCAGTCTCTGCAGCTCCTCAAATCTTAACAGCAGTTTCCCATACCATCTTGTGGATGAAAATCTGTGACCTCAAGGAACAGAAGCCATACTAATGATAGACCAAGAAGCGTGTCTCCCCCTGTTGGTTGATTGGCAAACATAGAACGATGACTTCCACATTGATTCTTTTCAAATCTCAAATTCTTATGGCAGGAGACCAGTGTTTCTCAAAATGGGGTCTAGGATGGTTTCTAGAGGGTCCAAGAAGTCTCCACAAGACTTAAACATTTGCATTTCAATTTTTAAGATTAAAAAATTAACATCTATATTCTGGAGTCTGTACATAGTACAGATCTCAGTACCCAAACTCTATGCCCATTAACTAATACAACTCTCTTACAGAAAAAGTTGGAAAAGTGTTTGTCCCCATGGACTCCTCTCTCACCCCTTGCTTCCCTCTGATCTTCTCTTTCTTCTTGTGCTGCTGGTACAACAAGAGGAAACCACAGTAGGGTTTCTTCCTTCCTTACACTTAGCGCTTAAGAAAAAATGCTAATTTCTGTCTTTTTTCCCCCATAAATTCAAGTTTCTCTAAATCTAGGAGGTACCATAAAAGGAGAATAAGATTACAATGTAGGCTTAAAGCAAAGGGACTAGAAGCCTCAGTTAGGCTGCAGGCTACAGGGGCACACAGTGTGCTCCAGGTTCAAAGGCGACAGAGAAACCACAGGACTGTAAAGAGACAAAGCACCACAGTGAGATGTCCCCACCGTGTGTTGCTCTTGAAAACTGGCCATGGTGTAGCTAGCAGATCAACGATACACGGTCCTGGCCGTCTTTCTTTCTGTAAAACCAGCTTTGCTGGTAAAAAAGCTCTTCCAATTCATCACTTTGTCCAACCAATATAAAAAGAAACCAGAGCGTGACAACTGAAGAACAGACAGAAATGATACTAAAATATAATGTCAACTTTTAATGTGATGGGAAAGAAGGTGCTACTGGGAAGAAAACGGAATGGGGCAGCGCGCATGCCCTTTGTTGGTGCTTCGCGATCAAACCACTGATTAGAAAGGGGACAAGGGAGCCGGGCATAGCCTGGGGGGGGGGGGGAAGGGGGCAGTGCTGATGAAAGCAGGAGCTGTGCATCATTAGGAAGCATGTAGTAAACCCTAATTATGCAAAATATATTGTTGATAAGAAGATACATCTTACAGAAAGTCTACCTGTCTATGGTTTTCATCTTTTCTCTTGCTTTTCAAAATTCTTATTCATTCAACCCAAAAACGCAGTTTCGGGGCTTAACACCGCTTCTCAAAAGGAGCATATTTCTTTGACCTCTCCACAGGGGACACAGACAGAGCCAATACAATGTTTATAACAACTAAAATAAACTTTGCTCCAAAATGATGGCTACTCTTTATTTCCAACATGGCATCAAGTTTATATTCTATTGATTCAAAGGCACCACTGATTTTATATTGCCCTATAATTTTATGTGCCATTAGAAGAAAAAAAAACACCAGGCAATTAAATTATGGGAAAAGTGAATATATATTAAACAAGCATCCTTAGAAAAAAGTATACTTCTACTATACTTCAAATATCCCTAATTCCCAACGAATTTGCAATAATCTCAGGTTTCCTTTCCTCCCTGAAGCCAGTCATCACTTAAAGCTACATGAACACCTGGGCCTGAGAGCTGGCCTGTGGGGTGAACCCTGAGCATTTACTTACTATGTAGTCCTCATCTTCATCCTTGGGGCCAGGGCTGTAATACACTCGGTAAGCTCTGGCCACTTGGTCGATAGCTTCTTTTGTGCCAGTCAAGCCAACCAGTTTGGGAGAAAATTCTAAATAAAAAACAAGAAAGACAGTGAAAAATAAGAAGCGCAGAAAATAACCATCCCTCTATCAAAAAGCAGTATTAGTTATAAAGCAGCCCTATTGCTGGTTTCCTCTTGTGAGTCCGTAAACATTTCCTTATGTTTCAAAAGAAAAAAAAAATTCACATAGAATAAAAATTCTCCTTTGTCATATATATTAAGTCACTTTGGAATTAAACTAGAAATCAGTAACAGAAGATATCTGGAAAATCCCAAAATATGTGGAGACAAACACTTCTAAATAACACAGAGAGAAAATAAAATATATTTTAAAAAATGAAAATACAACTTATCCAAATTTGTGGGATAAAGCAAAAGCAATGCTTAAGAGAAAAATTCATAGTACTGAATGCATCACTAGAAAAGACAGATCTAAAGTCTGTAAGTTTCCACCTTAGTAAATTGGAAAAAATAAGAGCAAATTAAACCCAAAGTAAGCAGGAAAAAAAAAAAAAATTAGAGCAGAAATCAATGGAATTGAAAACAGAATACTGAGAGAAAAGATCAACGAACCCAAAAGTTGGTTCTTTGTAATCTAGCAATCATATCCTTTCATGACTGTCTAGTAAAGGGAATATATTCTAATTATTCAAGTCAAATTTTTTTTATTAATTTAGTTGTTTTAATACTTAGATGTAGTTCTGAGATATGCTGAAATTTAAAGATATAATCATGAATTAAGCACTATAGTTTTTACTGTATCATATGAGAAAAATGTTTGTTTCATAATTAGTTTACACCAGTTCAAAATACCTGTATCTCATTTTCCAGCAAATAATCTCGTATCTCACAGCATGCAGTTACTGTTAAGTGTTTGGAATTCATGTAAGCTGGTGAAAGTTACTTAAAACACATGAATTCATCATGCTCCTAAAATGATAGTCCAACATTTAACTATATATAGTACCTTCTTCTAAAGGTAGAGAAAGCCTATTTTCATTCCTTGAACTAACACATTCTAAATTGAAAAATTTTTCAGGTACTGAAAAGGCAAGATGGCTTGTCTTTCTCTTTTACTCTATGAGTAAATGAAGAGAAGGGCAAAAGAAGCCTGAATTAGTTGCACATAGAGACCTTTTTAAATTGTCAAAATTGCAATACTTTTCTAACTACTAACTTAAATATTTTAAAATCCCCCAAAATGCAGTAATGGTTACTTTATCAATCACTGCTATGGGTGCTGCTGAAGAATATCATTACATGGTTTTGGTAGTCTGGTTAGGTATAGCAAACTCAGGTATCTATTCATTGGGGGATATTTATAGTTTGGTTACTATGTGATGAAAAATAACTGCCAAGATAACATACATTTAAATCGGAGATTGTTCATCACCCAATGAGTTATACCTGCTTTTTATTGCTTTAGAAAATAACTATGCTAATGCTCACATTTCTGACATACCAGTAAACTATGGACATAAATTCTATTTTTACATACTAAAAACTCTAAAGGAGAAAACATAAACCCTTATAACCTTGGGTTATGCAAAGATTTCTTACATACAAAACCAAAAGAATTATCTATATAAGAACAAACTTATAAACTGGACCTCATCAAAATGGAAAACTGCTCTTCAAAAAACATGACTGAAACGACAGGCAACAGACTGGGAGAAAATAGTTGCAAATCATACACCTGATGAAAGATTTATATCAGGAATATAAATAAAAGTATATAAATAAAAATAAAAAAAACAACCCCATAATGGGCAAAAGATACTAAAGTGGCTAAATTTCAAGATTACCAACCATATAAGTGTGGCAAGAATGTGGAGGAGCTGGAACTCTGCTAGCAGGAATGCAAAAATATATAACCACTTTGGAAAAAGTCTGTCTGTTTCTTAAGAAGTTAAACATAAATGACAACATGATCCAGCCACTCGACTCCTAGATAATTTACTCCAGAGAAATAAAAGTGTGTGTCCATCCAGAATGGCATATGAATGCTCTTTATTTGTAACAGTGGGTAAAGTGGAGGGGAATGAGGGAGGGACTGGCAAGGGCACATGGAAACTGCTGGGGGTGATAGGTTCATTTTTTTATTGTGCATACATGTGTCAAAAAGTAACAAACTGTACACTTTAAGTATGTATACTTTATGTCAATTATATCTCAAGAAATCTGTTACATAATAAAATATATAGCAAGTCCCTCACAAAGGACTTTTTTTTTTGTGGTACGTGACCCTAGAGGAAACTGAACCCAGGACTCTCTGGTGCACAGGCCAACGCTCAACCACTGAGCCAAACTGGCCAGGGCCACAAAAGACTTTTTTTTTTTTTTTTTTTAATCCTCACCCGAGGACATTTTTTTCCCATTCTTTGTACAGATAGAGTGGGAGGGAGAGAGAGGAAGAGAGAGAGAGAAACATCGATGTGAAAGGGACACATCGAGTGGCTGCCATCCGCACGACCAACCAGGGCCGGGGACAAACTGCAACCGAGGTACGTGCCCTTAGCGGGAACCGAACCCGGGTCTCTCCGGACCGCAGGCCAACGCTCTAACCGCTGAGCCAAACTGGCCAGGGCCACAAAAGACTTTTTTATCTCAAAGCTTGAGGATATGTGCGTTAGAATGTGTCATATAATAAAGATAAATATAAACCTATCCATTAGTCCTTCTGTCCAGTAGTTTCAATCAATTTCACCATCATTAAAATTTAAATTCCTGATTTTTAAGCACCCACATTCTGCACACTAGTATAAGAACAATAAAACCTGTCTGATCAGATTTTTATTCTCAACACATTTTTCAGATGAAAAAACTTGAGTCCAGAGAAATTAAGCAACTGACCCAAGTCCATAAGATCTAAGTATTCACCTTTAATTCCACCATAAGGTACAACCTTTAAAAGTAACTTCTAATAGGTTTTAACTTGACTGTTTAGATGTTTGATTTGAAATTCTTCCATTAATAGTTATGTGTTTCTGTCACAATGAATGTTTTGGATTTATAAAATATGTGCCAAGTTCAAAATGTGTTTACATATAACTCATTTTTAATCTCCCAATGTATATACTCCCAGAACGTATATACATTAATTTTACAAAGAGAATGAGGTACACAGCCGGAATTAGAAACAATGTGTCCTTACTCTCAGTTCAAGGCTCTATTAACTTTATTGATATATGAAGGTCAGGTTCAGTCTTTCCACTGTGACAAAATAAAAAGAGCCCCGCACTAGGAAATAAGAAACCTAGTTCTTACTTAATTACTTACTAAGCACAGTCACAACTCTGAGTCTCATCTTTTTTTTTTTTTTTTAATCCTCACCCGAGGACATTTTTCTATCTTTTGTTCAGGTAGAGTGGGAGGGAAAGAGAGGAAGAGAGAGAGAGAGAAACATCAACGTGGAAGGAACACATCAAGTGGCTGCCACCCGCACAACCGACCAGGGCCGGGGACAAACTGCAACCGAGGTACATGCCCTTAGCAGGAACCGAACCCGGGTCTCTCAGGACCGCAGGCCGACGCTCTAACCGCTGAGCCAAACCGGCCAGGGCCCATCTTTTTATTTGCCTGTAAAACTGGTGATAACATCTGTCCTCCCTATTTCACAGGACATTATAAGGTTCAAATGAGCTGATGTTTCAAGAACTGTAGAGCTAAACAGATATAAATTATTATTAATAAAACATACCTTTCACATAATTTGCAATGGCTTCTTTTGTGTCCCTCTCTGGGTCAATAGTGATGAAAAGTGGAGTTAAATTTGGCAGACTTGGAATACCATCTGAAAGAAAGTTCTCATTAGTCACTATTCACACTCTAAGGGAAAAGATAAAACCAGCAATTAGAGTAGAGTATAGTAGGTACAGCAAGGTATTAGGGAAACACAAAGGCACATCTAACACTGGTGTTATATGTTGGGGAAAGGGTGGGATGGCTTTTAGGAGAAACAGATCTATATATTATCTGTAGTGGAATCAGATAAATAACCCACCAAATACCTGCACCAGGGTATCTAGTCTCCTAGTCTAATCCAATATTGTATGTTATCCCCCCCCACACTCCCCACTATACCCCAAGGGTAGGGTAAATTATTCATAAAGACCGAATAGCCTGGAATAATTCATTTTAAGAAGTATGTCCCCTGCCTTCTTATTGGTACTAATAAATGCCCTGACTGCACATCATAGACCATACCACAGATTTTACAGTCTAACCAACAGTCACCTGGGAAAAGGTGGTGTCAATGGTGGAAGGCCACAATAAAGGAAGGGACACAAAGCAGAGTTAAGGGAGACCCAGACCACACTGACATTTTTAAGCAACCTACCATTTAGCATCATAACAGGTTTCTCTGGGTGGAGAGTTTATAGGTCACGGAAATCAAAGCAACAAACAAACCTAACACTGAGATTTTATGTTCTCAGGAACCAAATAATTACGACCCTCCACCTAACAGTAATACAAGAATGTGAAAAGCATAATAACATTAATGATATTACATATACTTCTCATAGTAAGTGATGGCTTTCTTACCTATTTCATCCACAACTTGAATCATTTTTTCTAGTTCTTCTGGACAAATATCAGGGCAATGAGTGAAACCAAAATAAATCAACACCCACTGGCCCAGGTAGTCCTTATTGGTTTTGGGCTCTCCAGTATGAGTGGTGAGGGAAAATGGTCCCCCAAGCAGAGGCTTTCCAATGCTTCGCTGCCGTTTTTTCTCCAGCTCTTAAACAGACACAAACACACACACCACAAAAAGTCAATCTAACCACAGGTACTCAAATGACTGATATATGATTCATACTGTACTAATGGCTGTATGGGCACAAAATGTAGAAGAAATAGTGTCAGTTTTCAAGAAGCTTAAAAAATATTTTATGGAAAATAAGTATAAAATAAAACAAAATCAAATTAAATGCTATTGTATGTAGTAAAGACTGTAAGAAATGAAAGTGGTAAAAATATCTATTCTGGAAAAATTCAGTCCTAAGCCAACAGATGTGCCATAATGGGGGTGAGAGAGGGGGCATAGTCATGCAGAATGTCTGAGCCCAAGTGGGCAAGGTGGTGGCCGGGCATGGGAAGTTTAACCCTGAGTGTGCTGAGGACAGCTGTATGGGGAGGGGACGGTGATAAGAAGATCTTAGTTACTTACTGGGGGAAGGAGGGTTGATCATATATTAGAGACAAGAGAGTTATAAATGGACAAGAAGTTAGAACAATGGAAAGAAAACTAGAATGAACCTTGTAGTACTGGAAAGTGCAATATAGTGTGAACTTAATAGTTTCAAAATATATATATATATACACATCTTTCCTAGCTCTGACTACTGAGGACTTGGGAGCAGACACACCTTAGTAACAAACAATGAACTCATATCCTGACTTCTAAATAGCCTCCTCCACAAAAAGGAAACTGGGCTTTTTAGAGAAATGGCTGATATCAGGTCCTGAAAGTCAAGTAAAGACTGAAAAACTTACAAAATGAAGGAGACTAAAGAAACAACAACTAGGAATGAGGTGTGGTTCTGGACCAGACAGCTTCTCCTATAAAAGGCATCAAGTGGAAAACCTGAATGAGGTCGGAACACTAAACAGTAGTGACATATCAGGGTCAATTTTCTGATTTTGACTGCTGTATTGTGATTATGTTAGGGAATGTCCTTAATTGTAGAAATATACAATAAAGTATTTGGACCTGATGAGGCATCTTCTCAGCAAATATTCTCAAATGATTTAGGTACACGTTTAATATTGTATCATAATCCATTTTTAATAAAAAATGTTACTAATTGGAGGTGAAATTCCAAACTAGACTCAAAAGAAGCTTGCATTTTCTAGAAGTTTCTCTACCACCACTTTTCTAGCTTTTCAGTTTTATTTCACTGTGAAATTAAAGGAACTTAAATGCTTATTAGAATATGGAAATCTTATCAATAAAATACTGCTAGCTATACAAAAGAAACAGGTTTAAATATCAATATGAATCCTATATTGCTAAGGTTCTAAAGCCTTTGAATTCTCACTTCCTGATTTAAACATCATCCTTTGTATAATGGCATCAAAAGACACTAAAGTAAAGAAATCAAAACAGATTTCAATGATATTTTAAAGATTTACTGAAAACTTCTAAAGCACCTCTTATAAGTCCTAGAATAGTCACTAATATAAACTTCCTGGAAACAGTTTCTAAACACATCAAGTGTCTGTCCAAAGCAGTTTCTAGCATTCCCGCACCAGGTTCCCCTTCTCTCCATCTCCCGCGGTCAGCCTCTGGCCTCTTCCCTGCTGAGACTCATGGTTTACAGTAAGGCTTGAGCTTTCCTTTGGCCCTCAGAGCACCCTGACTTCCTTCTGGCCTGACAGAACCTCATCTAGTAAAATCCTTTACTTCTGTGTCAGTTTCACTATCACAGGTATCTCAAAGGCTGGGATGCATCTTAGTCATCTTTGTGCCCTCTGGACTTCCTACTACCCACATTCAACTCTGTCCAAAAACAAGTCATTTCATGTTGTTAGACAGTGCTACCCTGGATTGCATCCTGGAACAGATAAAAGGCAATGGAAAAACAGGTGTAATCCAAATAAAGTGTGTGGTTTAGTTGAGTGTTGTACCAATTGTAATTTCTTAGTTTTCATGGTTATATAACACGTTAACATTAGGGGAAGCTAAGTGAAAGGTGTATGAGAAATCTCTGCCATATTTATAACTCTCCTGTAAACCTAAAATTATTTCAAGATAACAAGTCTAAAAACAACAAAAAGATGCTAGTCCATAGCCAGGAAGGATCTTTTCAGAGCTGACCAAATGATATCTACTTACGCTCTGTCTTCTCTTTCTTGAAGTACTTCATCCCAGCCAATAAAGCTCCTCCAATAGCAAATGTGACTGCTAAAGACTTCCAGGAAACAGGCTACCGGGTCAGAGATTTCAAAAAACAAAAGTACTAGTAAGATGCCGACATCTAATCATACTAAATATAGTATAGTAATTTTAAATATAAATACACAGAGGCCTTTATATTGTTCAATGTGCTGAATGTTTCATGTTCTTTGGGATGAGGAAATACGGAAAGTTTCTGTGGGGGCAGTTGAACCTGGGCTCCTCACACACTTACAAAGGCAAGTTTCCAAGGGGAAGTTCACTAAGTCAATCTCTTTTCATTTGAAAAAAATGACTCAAAGTTCAAGTACCAAGATTGTTTCTCCTTGTGACCCTGATCCCGACGGCTGATTTAAAAACCAGTTAATTACCTACTTGTGCTGATATTGTGATTATGAATAAACCAAACAAAATTTGGGAGGTTAACCTAACTCTGGCTTCCAAAGTAACGAAGGCAAAGTAGGAAGCGATCTCAAGGTGGAAGCTTCCTGCAGCCTTACTTCTCTGTCCTCAAGTCCCAAGGTTAAGTAAGATGTGGACTACGTCGTCTTACTCATTAACCTTCCCCCACTCCGAAAACCGTTTCCCTTACCAATCAAGAGGTTCTTTTTGGGTGAGAAATAGAACCTGAAAGAACCGCCCCCCGCCCCCAATGGGGGCATATCCAGCACGAAACTATGATCCATATTTTGCTCAATTTCAACGTACACATGGAACCTCCGAAGGGGGACCCAAGCGTCAGAAATTGTAAAATTGCTCTGGCTCCTCAATCATGGTACATTTCAGGTGGAGACCGCTAGGAAAACTTAAAATGTTGACCCGGGTAAGCCGGCTGAGTGGCGGACAACTTCTGGGCAGGACGAGCCATTTCTGAGGCTACGACCAAGGGGGTGGGTTGTGAGGGCCGCGACGAGGACAGGAAGTGCTCCAGGTGTGCACTCACCCCGGGCTTCGAGGGGCGCGTGGGGTCTCTGCGGCCTTTCGGCTCGGGTCCGGACGCCCCCGGGGGTGGCGGCATCGCGGTGCTGAGGTGCCGACACCCCAGGCAGCGGCCTGCGAGCCCCGAGGCCCGCCACCCCGTCTCTCGCTGCGCGCACAGTTGCCTCAGTAGGAGCCTCCGGGTCCCCTCTGCCGGACCCCAAACCCCGAAACCGCGAGGCAGGAGAAGCCAAAGCTGACCACCCGGAAGCCGCATGATGCGGCCCGACCCCAGTATCGCTCCCGCCATGAGCTTAGGAGACCACGCCTCCTTGGACCCGCCCCTCGACTTCCGGCGCCGTTCGCTTCCTCCGGGAATCGGAAGAGCCGCTCTCTCCGCTCAGCTCGATGGTGACGCGGTCTCCTAGCGGGTAGCCTGGCAGCCCTTCCCCTTGGAGCTGGAGCGCGGTAGGTAGAGCCTCGCTGCTGGAGGCGTCGGCGCGGGCTGGGCGGCGGTGGGCAGCGGGGTCCTGAGGACGGGGCTGCCTCGGGTGCGGGCTTCGCGGCGGGGCCTAGGCCGGGCGGTCCTGAGTGCTGGGGGCTCCTCGCCCCGCTGGGCACCCCCTGCCTCGGAAAAAGGAAAACTCCGTCCGCAGACCCGCGAGACCTGGCAGCCCCCACCCCCACCGCCGGCGCCCTCTTCCTGCCCCGTGCGGAGGCCCGCCAATTGGAACTGCAAGGCTCCGGGCTCCTTCGCACCTCCAAGCCGACCCATTACACTTGAAGTAATTTTACTTTTAAGAAATTTTATTGCTAATAAAGATGCTGTTAGCGGTTAGGGTAGCAGGGGCGAGCCAAATAGAACTGTAGTCCCTGGTGTTTCTCGTTATCCCCAGGTCACAGTGTAAACTAATTATAAATAACAGCACAGTGCGAAGAGGTATGGGCTGCATCGTATCCCATCCCTAAACTTAGTGTCCCTGGGCCCCCATCCCTAAACTTAGTCTCCTCGGGGGCCCCCATCCCTAAACTTAGTGTCCCTGGGCCCCCATCCCTAAACTTAGTCTCCTTGGGCCCCCATCCCTAAACTTAGTCTCCTTGGGCCCCCCATCCCTAAACTTAGTCTCCCTGGGCCCCCCATCCCTAAACTTAGTGTTCCTGGGCCCCCATCCCTAAACTTAGTCTCCTCGGGCCCCCATCCCTAAACTTAGTGTCCCTGGGCCCCCCATCCCTAAACTTAGTGTCCCTGGGCCCCCCATCCCTAAACTTAGTCTCCCTGGGCCCCCATCCCTAAACTTAGTGTCCCTGGGCCCCCATCCCTAAACTTAGTGTCCCTGGGCCCCCATCCCTAAACTTAGTCTCCTCGGGCCCCCATCCCTAAACTTAGTGTCCCTGGGCCCCCATCCCTAAACTTAGTGTCCCTGGGCCCCCATCCCTAAACTTAGTCTCTCTGGGCCCCCATCCCTAAACTTAGTCTCCTCGGGCCCCATCCCTAAACTTCTTCTCCCTGGGCCCCTCTCCCTCCACTTAGCTTCCTTGGGCTCCTATCCCTTAACCTCCCTGGGCCCCAGATTCTTAAAAATCTCTGCTTGACTCCCCCGCCCCCTTCAGTTTCCTGGTTTCAAGTTTGTTGATGAGTTCCTCACCTGGGCCTGCTTGTTTAGTTTGGGCACAGCCCCATGTTAATGAGGCCATGAGCTTACCGAAGTTTATTTTTCATTCCGTGTGAAAGTTTAACTCATTTTGTCTGCCTTTGTTTCAGTAACTGTGATCTTAACCCCTCCCCTCCGCATTCCGTGGTGGATTTGCAAAATACAGAAAAAGGGGAAAACTGCCTTCTAATTCTCTTCCTCAGCTTCAGATCCCATCCTTGCTTGGCTTTTTTTCAGTGGGTTTCTTTCCACTGAGCAGAAGCAGCTGGTGATTGTGGGACTGAAGCATGGTGTTTTCTGTGAGCGGACATAACCAGCCCAGGGTGCTCCTCTGGAAGCTGGTAAAATTGTAGTCTAGCATCACCCATGTATTTTTTTATTCCAAAGTTGAACTGGAATTTCTGCTCAAAGCAAATGTTTGCTCAGCACTTCAAATCGTTTTTAATCAAACTAAATTTTCTGTCTTGGAGTTGCCAGGGGGCAGTAAGACTTTTTTTTTACCCTCATATTTCTGTGTATTTGTTTGTCCAGGAATAAAATTTTCCTCAAATTGACAAAAAGCCACAAAAGCACCCTGCTTATTCAGGCAATGTACGTATAAATTATTGTCATCCCTTTCAGTTGTAGGTTAATGGATAAAACATACATCACATAAATTAAAATTGAATTCAATGGTGTTTTTAGCTGGTCTGTTAAATTTTGTTTACCAGAGTGATTCTTTTAATAGATTTATCGTCGTTTAGCAGAGCATTTTTTAAAGTCCTCAACCAAGGATATTTTCCCATTGATTTTCAGATAGAGTGGGAGGGAGGGAGGGAGGGAGAGAGAGACTCATTAATTGGTTGCCTCCTGAAGGATCCTGACCAGGTCTGGGGAAGTGAACAGCAACTGAGGTATATGCCCTTGACCGGAATTGAACCAAGACTCTTTGGTCTGTGGGCTGACAGTCTTAACAGCTGAACCAAACCGGCCAGGGCTACCAGGGCATTTTCATAGAACCTCTTCATATTAAATTTATAATGGTAAATAAAATATTACCTTCTAAAACAGTTCCTGACTCAAAGTAGGTGTTTTGTAAGTATACATTGGATGAATTGCTAGCAAAACCTCTTGAGTCTGATTTCATGGACCTATTAAACTTTAGTGTTATAAAAGATACCTAAAATATCGTCTGGTATAAATCCATCACTTACTATTATCAAACCACCAAGATGCCCAAATGCATTTTTTTTCTTTCAATTTAGACACTTTTATTAAAAGAGAACACAAATAATATCATCTGACAAGGCTGATCAGATTTTGTGCTTGCTTTACTGTTTTGACTAGGAGATCTAGGCCGAACTTGCAGATAATCATCTCAGCATTGTAACTTTTTTGCTTCACCCTGGTTTCAGGCATCCCACCCTATTTGCCTAACCACAAAAATGTCCTGCCTCAACTTTGCTGTTATTGCGATAGTTAGCAAAGTTTCAAGCCCGTCCCCCCCCCCCCCCCCACCCGCCTTCCTTTCCATAGCCACCCAGACTATGGACTCTGCATATAACAACTATGCGCACCCACACTTCCTTAACACTGCTGGCTGAGGCTTTCAGCATCTCCCTATTGCAGCACTTCCCCTTAACAGACTCCTTACTCATTCCTGGGTTTGTCACCCTTGCCCCCTTTTTTTAATCTTTGACAGTAGTATAAGGAAATACTCTTTTCAGTGTATGGCTGTCTTTCTTCACAAATTCATAGGTGCTTAAGAAACTTCAGCCTTCTGCCAGTCCTCATTATTACAGAAGTTTTATTAGTGTCATCTTGGAGCAACTTTTCATTGAGCATCTCTAGGTATTTCCTTCTGTTAAACATCATTAATGCCTAAGGTGATCTTCACAAAATGCTGGCTGCTTATCTTGCACCATGACTTCTTGTAGGAATTTTTGGAGAAAAACTTGCAAAGTTTTCTACATTATTCTGTTCTATAAAAAGTTTCCGGTATTGTTTCTACACTTGATCTGAGCTCAGAATTAAAAAAAAGAAAGTTTCAGGTATTGCCCAGCTGGTGTGGCTCAGCAGATAGAGTATTGTCCCTTGGACTGAGAGATTCCGGTTCCGTTCCCAGTCAGCCCGGGTTGCAGGCTCCTTGCCCAGTAGGGGGCTCGCAGGAGGTAGCTGATCAGTGTTTCTCACATCATGTTTCTCTCTTTAAAAAATCAATACAAATAAAAAGTGTCAGGTATTTTGAGGTTCACCAGGCAGTTATCTTTTCAGATATATAATTTAAAAATAATATTCTTAACATAGTGCTTTATGAGTTACACAGTTTACAACTCAGATGAATCTTACAGCAACTGATGAGGATTGCTTTAGGAAAAACTGGGACTATAGTTCAATTCCAAGTCTTCCATTTCAAAGCTTTCAACAGTTCATTATAATACCTCTTAACTAAAACTTAGATGACTTAGCATATAAGGAATGCTTCAGGGAAAACTTTCAGAACAAAAACTGGATATTTTTTTTATCTTCTCAAAAGCGAATTATTTCTGTAATTATTCTGTTATTCTTCCAGACTTTATTTTCTCTAAATTTTTGAATGTTTTTTTAAAACTTTATATTGTAGACATTTAAAAACACAAAAGTAGAGAGAGTAAACCTCATGTATTTATTGCTAGCTTCAACAATTATCATCCTCTACTCAGCCACTTTTTTGGCATTTGGTGAAGCAGAGGGATATTTTGAATAAGTTCCATGGCCTTAGAATCTTTGTAATTCTAAATCTTCTCCCTGGAGGGATCTGGGTATTTTTCTCTCTGTGCCCTGGGACTGATATTTCTAAGCCCCCTGGCATCTCCCCGAGCCATAAACTAAAAGACTGACCTAGCCCGGAGAATCAGCTTCCTGCCCACTTGACTCTCTTATGCCTTCCTTACTCACTTGCGATTCTAGTTGTCATTCCTTGAATGTGGCTATGTCCTTTCTTCTTGCCTCTTCTCTTTTCCTTAAAAGAGCACAGTGTGAATTTAAGTTTCTGTTTTTTAAAATAATCTCTTTATGTAATAAAATTGCATGTTCCCTATCTGTAACCTTATTTTTCTCATCCTCACCTGAGGTTGTATTTATTGATTTTAGAAAGAGGGAGAAACATTGATCGGCCACCTCCTCTATGTGCCTGAAGATTGAACTCAAAGCCTAGGTATGTGCCCTGACGGGGAATGAAACCTACAACCTTTTTAGTGCACAGGACGACACTCCAGCCAGCTGAACCACCTGGCCAGGGCTATAAACCTTATTTTTAAGCCCTGGCCAATTTGGCTCAGCAGTTAGAGCGTCGGCCTGCGGTCCAGAGAGACCCAGGTTCGGTTCCCGCTAAGGGCACGTACCTCAGTTGCAGTTTGTCCCCGGCCCTGGTTGGTCTTGCGGGTGGCAGCCACTCGATGTGTCCCTTTCACGTTGATGTTTCTCTCTCTCTGTCTCTCTGTCTCTGTCTCTCTCTCCCTGTCTCTCTCTCCCTCCCTCCCTCCCTCCACTCCCTCCCTCCCTCCACTCTATCTGAACAAAAAATGTCCTTTGGTGAGGATAAAAAACAACAAAAACAAAAGGGCTATATTCAGCCCGGCCAATGTGGCTCAGTGGACTGAGCATCATCCCATGGACTGAGAGGTCCCAGTTCGATTCCCTGTCAGGGCATGTGCCCAAGTTGTGGGCTCGGTCCCCAATAAGGGGCGTGTAGGAGGTGGCCAATTGATGTTTCTCTCTCACACTGATGATTCTATCTCTCACTGTTCCTCTCTCTCTAAAAAATCCATAAAAACATATTTTAAAATTTTGTTAAAAAATAAAAGCTATATGTATTCAGCATTTTGGATCTCTTTTCTACTTCAGAATACATTGCTGTTTTGAAGTTTGTGGCCCTTGCTGGTTCTTTTCATGTTGCTTAACTTTCTTTAAAAAGTTGCCAAAATCATAGTATATTTTTGAGTTTCAGTAACCTGAACTGTGTTCCAATGAAAGATGTGTCTGGTTGGAATCACATGAAAGAAAATTTAAAGCCGAGTTACTTTGACTTGAAGCTCAAATGAGAATTTATTGGCTGATTTAACTAAATGACCAAGGTTAGTTCTAACAGGGACAGGTGGATCCATGGTTCAAGTAATGTTCCCAGGGCCCTCCTTCTTTTCATCAGTCAGATTTCTTCTCAGTTAATTTCCTTCCAGCAGTTCCAGCCTTAGTTGTCAGCTTACCGGAAGTAGTTCTTATAATTTCGCTAGGAGTTTCAGCAAAAGTCACAGGGCTGACCCTTGGCCCAGGTTAGGTTATATGCCTACCAGAGGGAAACGGGCTTTTATAGGCCAAGCCTGGGTCATGTTGTCTGTCCTCTCAAACCACGTGAAGTAAGAGTGAGGAATTGGATAGATGCCTAAAGAGTCATTGGGATGCAGTTATCAGAAGAACAGGGACTAGATGCTCGGTAGGCAAAATAACCACTATCTACTGGAGAAAAGATCAAATTAATTGGGACTAAATGCTCTCTAGGAGTTCCTCAGTATGTATTATTACCTTGCAGAGGTGGGGAACCTTTTTTCTGTCAAGGGTCTTTTGGACATTTATAACTTCATTCTTGGGCCATACAAAATTAATCAGCCTAAAAATTAGCCTGCTGTATTTGGTCAGGCTAATTTGGTGAGGTGTGTGATGTTAGCTAGTATTGATTTCACGGGCCTTATATGGCCATCCGGGGGGGATGTTCCCCACCAAAGGCTCTGAGTTAAAAATAAACTAAGTTGACAGGATAAAAGCACTCCCAGAAAGTTTTCTCTTAAGCTTTGGTAATGTCCCACTATTATCCTTGCTAAATTATCTTTGGGTTTGATTCTTCTGTTAATCTGTATTTGGAATTGCAAATATTTGAAATCTAATAGAACTAGAGATTTTCAGCTAATAGGTGAGTTTTGTATTCGCTGTAATTGTATCTGAGTTCTTCACTTTCCAAATCAGACTATCTCATCTATACCACCCCTCATAGCTATAGACTGACTTGATGTCTAGTGGGGTTTTCAAATGGGGACTGCAGGTAAAGATTGAGCAGATGAACAAACAAACAAACCCCAGTATAAAGGAGGACACTAGGCCATTTTTAGGATCTCCATCTCTTTTTCTGGTGCTGTTTACCTGTTTTGGGGATAATTATATCCAACCAGATTAAGGAAAGTAGCTGAAGCTCGTAATTGGGTGGGTCAGATAGAAGATACATTTTAGGGTCAAATGATCACCTCCACATCTGTTAGGGACGTTCAGACAGTTAGAATTTCCCATATCAGTTTTGGTTGTAAGGAAGGGGAGTTAATATTCAGCTTTCAAAAAGTTGGTTCAAGTTAATATCCAACTATTGAAGAACCAGGACCCATTGCTCTCAGAAATGAAAATAGTCACAGCAGTGTCCTAATTTTCGTGCCAGATTTTTTTTTTTTTGTTTAAAGTTATTCTTCTCATATCTTTACCCTGTTATTCCATATATGAAATATGAGAAACTTATTTCAAGCGCCCTATCCACCAACAAAGAGAAAAGATCTAGCCTGACACAGAATAATCCAGGGTAGGGGTCTAATGTATAAAGTACAATGGATGCGTGTAATGTATGACTTTCGAAAAGCTGGAATTTTGATAGAATCATTGGTATTTATAGAAGAAGGTGTGTGTGTTTGTGTGTGTGTGTGTGTAACTAGTGTGTGTTTCTTAAAAGTTACAAATTATTCCAGATTTGAATTTGACTTTTCTAGAATTAGAATGCCTATTCATTAATAGGATCCTACTCTTACAAATTATTACTCTTTTAAGGAATACAGGTTATTATCTGTTTTATAGATAAGAAAACTGAAACATTTTATGGACTTGGTAATTTAAACCTAAGCATCATTCCTAAAGCCCATGCACTTTCCTCTGCACGAAGCTGTCTAGTGGATTAACTATGAAGTTTAACATCCATTTTACCATTTGGAAAATTAAGATGTTTATACTTAGTTATCTTTTTCACTTTCTTTAGAAACCTGTTTGGAGGTTATGGATGATAAGCCCAACCCTGGAACTGTAAGTGGGAGTTCAGAACTTCTCTTCTCCTTTGGAGTTATAGCAGATATTCAATATGCGAATTTAGAAGATGGCTATAATTACCAAGGAAACAGACGGAGATACTACAGACATAGTCTTCTGCACTTACAGGGCGCTATTGAACACTGGAATAAAGAGAGCAGTCCACCCTGTTGTGTACTTCAGCTTGGAGATATCATTGACGGCTATAATGCACAGTATAAAGCATCAGAAAAGTCACTAGAGCTTGTTATGAACGTGTTTCAAATGCTTAAAGTCCCAGTTCATCATACATGGGGAAATCATGAATTCTATAACTTCAGCAGAGACTATTTAACAAACTCTAAACTGAACACAAAGTTTCTAGAAGACCAGATTGAACATCATCCTGAGACTGTGCCTACAGGGAGTTATTATGCTTATCATTTTGTGCCATTTCCTAAATTCCGGTTCATTTTACTTGATTCTTATGACTTGAGTGTCTTGGGCGTGGATCAGTCTTCTCCAAAATACCAGCTGTGTCTGAAGATGCTGAAGGAGCACAATCCAAATATGGAATTGAATAGTCCTCAAGGTGAATTATTCCTTTGAGCTGAGAATCTAATACATTGTCTTTAAATTCTTCAGCTACCTTTTATTCAGCAGGAAGATGGATGATTAAGGTAAAAGTATATTGTCGCTGTTGTTCAGAGTCAGGATTTCTCACAAGCCTCATGGCACATGGATTGGTTGCCGTTGGTTCAAGATTTAACAAATACCTGAATGCCTATTCTGGGCTGAGCACTTTTTCTAGAGCTTAGCCATTCAGGACTGTAAGCAGTACTGACAGTATCACTTTTTTAAGGGGTAGAGTGGAGAGAACAAGAAAAGTAGGTGGGCAGGACAGGTAATAAATGAAATAGTAACAAGATTATTTCCACAATGATACATGCTGCCAAGAAAATAAAGTAGGATCGAGGGGACTGTTTTAGTTTAGGTGGTCCGAGATAGCCTTACCACAGAGGAAAACATTTCAACTGAGACCTAATGACAGCAGGGGTCAGCCTTGGAAGGAGTATGTGGGACAGGGAAAAACAAATGCAAAGGCACTGAGCACAGACTTGGGCTTTCTTGAACTGCAGTAGCTCAGTGGACACAGTTGAGTCTGTATTTTATTTTCAGTGTAACAGGAAGCTAGTGAAGTAAGCAGAAGAGTGTCAAGACTAGGAGTAAGATGCAGAGTGATTTGTTTATTGCTCTAAATTCTTGTGGTTTCCTGCTTTAAGTCAATTGTTGCCAGATGTTCCTAAAGAGAAATAGGAGTGTACCCATATTTGCTAAGTTGGAATGTCCTAATGAGAAGAACATGATATTTGATGGATCTAACTTATAGAATTCATTTTAGGACTTTCTGAGCCTCAGTATGTCCAGTTTAATGGAGGATTCAGCCAAGAACAGCTGAACTGGTTGAATGAAGTCCTTACATTCTCTGACACAAACCAAGAAAAGGTGGTGATCGTGAGTAAGTATTTAAATGGTTTGTTTATACTGGCATTTTAGAGAATGAGAAAGTTAGATTTTAAAGTATACTAATAACATTTATATTGTGATATCCTCTTTCTATAAAAATGTTTAGTTTAAATTTTTTAATTGAAAAAATCTGAATATGAGATTAACATTTAAGGTTGAATCAGGGAAGAATTGAATTCTAAAATAACCAAAACATCTTGCCAAGTATTAAAGCCTGTGAGTTGACCTTTTAGATTTCATAATAGAATTTCCAAATGGGATCGATTTGGGTGGTAATATTTAAATGAAAAATTCAGTCCACGCCCCATACTAAATCTCAGTCTTAGGAGACCTACCAGTCAGTGCAGTGGCCACCAAACGGAGGCCCCTACTGCCCGGATGAAAGCAAAGCCGATGTAACAGGGACAGGTGTTCGAGACACACTGGCATTGAGCGCTTATGTGATGATTATTTTCGTTCAGAGTCATTTTCACCAAACATATTGCTATCAGATTGTATCTGGAGGCACTTAGCTGTTAAAGATTTGCTCATCCAGTTTCTCAGCTTACAGAAAAATAGGAGAATTTTAAGAGACAGATGATGTAGATAAGTGCAGTGACAGTGAAAAACAGGGAAAAGCCCTGGCCAGTTTGGCTCAGCGGTTGAGCGTTGGCCTGTGGACCAGAGATTCTGGATTCGGTTCCTGCTAGGGGCACGTACCAAAAAAAAAAAAAAAAAAAAGGGAAGAATATAGGACAGCATGGGAAAAGGGGCTGGGATACAAAATATGGACTCCAGTCTCCGTTCTGTCAGTTGCTGTATGATTTTAGTTATGTAGTTCAGTCTCATTTGGTTCTGTTTAAAATGACTAATAGAAATTTTTTTTCTCTTGCTTTTGGCTATTCAGATGTCATTTTGCCTAATTCTCAAGTTTTGGCCATGGCATTGGAAGGATAAACTTGCCATTGGCTGAGCTATGGAACACTGTAGCAGGAGGGGGTTTGAGTGGAGAGTACAGTACTTCAAGGCTGAAAATTCTGACTTTCAGGCGCTTGTTACACACCAGCAGAGATGTTGAATAAGCAGTTTGGACAAAATGAATCTGAAATTCAGAGTAGAAGTTTGGGCAACAGGTATAGATGTGCATGTTGAAAGAATACAGATGATATTTAAAACTTTGTATATTACCAAAGATTATGATCACCATTACCTGGTGATTACTAAAGAGATCACCAGGTCTTTAGGTGTAGACAGAAGTGAAACCCAAGAACCAAGCATTCGGGCACTTCTAATAAGATACTGGGGAAATGAGGAACTGGCAAAGGAGAGGGAGAATCAGTAGCCCTTGAGGTTAGGAGGAAAACGCAGAGGACTGGTATTATCCTGGAGCCAACTGTTTCAAGGAGAAGGGAGCACCTAATTGTGCCCAGTGCTACAGGGATTTGCTAGGTGAGTCCGCTGTGGCATCCAGATCTGGAAAGTCACACAGCCTCTTTGGACCCTTAGCCCTTGTTGCAGCTTGAAGACTGGCTGAGTGTGTGTGCGTGCAGGTGCGCACTGTTAGCCCCTACCTAAAGACCTGGGTGTAGTGCACACTTCTCTTTTTACTTGTAATACAAACTAATAGGTATTAAACAGAATAAAGATAAACAGTAACATAGAGAAAGGAAAAGTAATTTAATGGGAAGAAGCAAAGACCAATGAACTATTGTACCTGTACTTCAGAGTGAAAGTGTGTCTTGCAATCAGGAATTTGAAAATCTGGCTCTACTTCCACATCTCCTATGGGACCCAGTATGAATATTCCCACGTTCACTCAGTTTTCTAATCTGTACAATGCCCATGGCTACCTTGTTCTTCTGGAGGTTTTTAAAGGGGCATGAATCAGCCCGGCCAGTGTGGCTTAGTGGATCGAGCGTTATCTCATGGACTGAGAGGTCCCGGTTCAATTCCTGGTCAGGGCACATGTCCAGGTTATGGGCTGGATCCCCAGTAGGAGGTGTAAAGGAGGCAGCCCATTGATGTTTTTCTCTCTCTCTCCAAAATAAATAAATAAATAAAAGGGCATAAATCAGTTCTTTATAAAACATTGAGTGTTTATAAAAATGACATACAATTCACTGGTCCATTCCTAAGTGGTTCTTTATCTAAGCGTGCCTCTCTGTGTGTGTAGCACTCCTGTACTTACGGAAGTCAGGGAAGGTGGACTCCAGCACTGCATTTGCCTGATTCTGCTCCCTTTGCAGACTTCCCCATGTAGGATGCCTTGGTCTCCTGTGATGTGTGTACATCCTGGAACTCACAGGGCTTCTGTCTCTACTGTGACCTCTGCCCTTGTGTATGAACTCTCTCACCCTCCTGTATGCCCCAGAGACGTGGCTGTAGATATCCTCGTTCTTAGTGTGTGTGAGTTCCCGCCGGTCTCAGTCCATAATGGGAGCAGTACACATTGTTTTCCTGAGTACTAGTTTGTAGCCATTTATTTTGGTGAAAGGGGTATATACTAATTGGCTCATAACTTTTCTTCTCTTTAACTAACAGGTCATCTTCCCATTTACCCAAAGGCCTCTGACACTGTGTGCCTGGCCTGGAATTACAGAGACGCCCTGGCAGTCATCTGGTCTCATGAGTGTGTGGTGTGTTTCTTCGCTGGTCACACTCACGATGGTGGCTACTCTGAGGATCCTTTTGGTGTGCACCACATCAATGTGGAAGGGGTTATTGAAACAGCCCCAGACAGCCAGGCGTTTGGCACGGTTTATGTCTATCCGGACAAAATGATGTTGAAAGGGAGAGGTCGAGTTACAGACAGAATTATGAATTACAGGAAGGAAAAACCTTTTCCATTTTTAGTCTGATTTATTTTATCTTTGATGACTTAGCTTTGTGTTTTTGCTCCCCTATCCCACCCCTAAGTCCTCAGTCTCATTGTTTAAGATTCTGTTGGCATAACAAGATATAGTTATGGCGTCAGGGTGTGTTGGCTCATAGACATTCTGAAGTGTCAATTCTGGGTCGAATATCAAGTGCTAAAAATTGAAAATGAATGGACCAGGGAGGAGATTGGCGGGGGGGGGGGGGTATAGTCCTCAAAACAGACTTTATTTTAGCTTTACCTGAGACTTTTTAAACTTTTTATGCTCATTTACTACTGTGTAACTTAAAGTACATAATGAAAAAGAATTAAGCACAGGTAAAGCTTGTCCTTTTAACCCTCCTTTGCAAACGAGCTTTGGACATTTTTTTTGCTCAGAATATCCAACATCTTGTACTTTTATAGGCTTGTGTTCTTATTTTATAGACCAAAAACTATCATGTTACTTCACAGGGAAATGAGGTGCTCCCATGTGAGGCTGTCTGAAGGGCCTTCAGAGAAGTTATGTGGTCCCTCATGATTCCAGCTGAAGCAGAACCATGGGCCAGGGCAGACGTGCACCTGCTCACGTGGTCTGTGTGGGCCGCCAGTTAGTGCTGCCTGAGCGTAGCAGCTAAATGAATTTACCTTTGACTCCCTCTTTAGATAAACGAGACATGTTTAACTCACCATATATGCTAAGGCTTATTTGCAGAAACACTTACTAGATGAAAAATGGGGACTGTTTAAGTGTAGAGAAAGTTTGATTCAGAGCTTAAAAACAGTAAGAGAGAAACCAATACTGGTCAACATAAGTGTGCCTGCTGAATACCTAGGCATATGGGGGTATGCAGTGTATTAGTTTTCTATGGCCACTGTGACAAATTACCACAAACTTGGTGGCTTCAGTAACACATATTTGTTCTCTTAAAGTTCTGGAGTCAGAAGTCTGAAGTTATTTTCACTGGGCTGAGATCAAGATGTTAGGGCCATGCTCCATTTTGCTAAATAAGGTAACATTCATAGGTTCTGGAGATTAGGGCCTGGATGTCATTGGGGCCACTATTCAGCCTACCCCAGAGTGACTATAATGTACTCCCTGCACTCACCATCTTTATGATGGTGAGGACAGAGAGATCCCTAGGTACAGTGTGTGAAGAAATGACTGGGAATGCGGAGCGGGGCTTTCGTTTTGTTTGAAGGGATTAGGGATGGCTTGAAGAAGAGGTATTGTAGGATATGCTGAGTTTAGGAGATGCAAGTAATGCTGTGAAGACTCGCCAAAAGGTGCTGGGGTAGGGCAAGAAATAAAACAGAAAGAGGTTAGGCCAGGGCTGTGTGGAGAAGAGCTTTGAACAACCAGCCAAGTTCAAATCTACCTTGTCAGACGGTGCGAGGAACCCTGGGGTTCCTGAGGGGTCAGGGTATGATGAGATTTGTGTTCGGTCCAGGCAGTGGAGGGGCTGGTGCACAGGAGTGACAGTGGGGGCAAGGCCTGGGGTGAGAGGACAGGCTTTCACAGTAGAAATATTAAACTTTCTAATACTTAAATTCAGTTGAAAGGTAGTTTAAAATTAATTTCAGTAATGATCTTTTCTGAAGGCAATACTCTACCAAAAGTTAGTTATTTTATATACCTAAGGAGATTTAAAAGGTACAATAAATTCACAGTGTGATTGTGGGAGAAGCAGACATGATGAAAGTGTCTTGAGCGTTATTCTTTTTTTTCGTATTGGAACATTACTGTCTTTTAAGCACGGAATCAAGCATTACTTGGAGGATGGGTAGGTCCTATATAGAATTTGCAAATAAGTCCATTTCCTAATGTATGGTGTCAATAATTACATTAAAAGAGGTGTAAAAGGCATGAATATTATACAGACTAAATGTACACTGGAACACTGAAATCCTTCATTTTATTGACCCTTAAAATTAATTTCACTTTAATTGCTTTAATATCAACTAGATTTTTTCCCCTTTTACCTCATCTAAATCTTGATCAGGAATTTCTGACTGTCCAGTGGCCATCGTGTAAAATAAAACACATGCGTACCTCCTTTAACAAACATTTGTGGAATCCTTAACATTGTTTTAGAAGATACAGACAGAGACAAACAACGAGGCTCATTTTCACTTTTCTGACATGATTGGTGCTAATACTTTTTTTTTTTTATCCTCACCCGAGGACATTTTTCCACTTTTTGTTCAGATAGAGTGGGAGGGTGAGAGAGGAAGAGAGAGAGAGAGAGGAACATCGGCGTGAAAGGGACACATCGAGTGGCTGCCACCCGCACGACCAACCAGGGCCCGGGACAAACTGCAACCAAGGTACATGCCCTTAGCGGGAACCGAACCCGGGTCTCTCTGTACCGCAGGCTGACACTCCAACCGCTGAACCAAACTGGCCAGGGCGGTGCTAATACTTTTTGAGTGGAATATTTCCTAAATCCCATGAACCAGTGCCTGGACTACAGTGTCTGATGCTAGCCTGTGTTAAAGAGTTGCCCTAAAACAGCACTGACCAACAGAAATACAGTATGAGCCACGTGAGTAATTTAAAATATTTAAGCAGTCACATTTTAAAAAGTAAATAGAAACAGATAAAATGAACATTAATAATTTATTTACCCCACTATATCTAAAATATTTCAACATGTAATTGATATAAAAGTGTTACATTTTTTATACTATGTCTTTAAAATCTAGTGTATATTTTATACTTACACCCATCCATTTGGAAATACTCGATCTGTATTTAGATATAAAATTTGCCATTGAAGACATAAATTCACATGTCCAGGTTATTCCCAGCATATTTAAAACAAGTGTTCCAGGCACTGTACATTTTCCAATAGCTGAATTGATGTTTTTAAATTAAAATGGAAAAGAAAAGAGGAAACTTGACTTTCTCAGTCTCGACACATTTCAAGTGCTCAGTGCAACATGTGACTAGTGGCCACAGTATTGGAGCATGTACAGTAGCCCCAAAATGGTCTCACCCCAGGGTTACTTTTGACATTCATTTTGTTTTTAAATGTGTATAGAGTTTGGTCTTATTTTTCATTTGCAATGTAATTATGCCCTGTTTCCTTTTTGGTTCCAAATTCTTTTATTCGAACTAACTTTCATTTCTTTCCAAGACATGTTGGTTCATCTAGAGTCCTTGTTTAGTTCATGGTACTGTACCAGTTCTTTCTAATGAGATTAGGTCAGCAGTACAGCCCTGTCTTGAACCTCTGTTTCTATCAAAGTAACCAAACCCTGCTTCCCTCTATTTTAATCATGTGTAGCCCTTTGTAAGCACTTTATATTTTCAGAGTGCTCTCATATTATCTAGTTTAATCCTTCCAACTGTATAAGTAGGAGATCTAGTATTAATTCTGTTTTATAGATAAAGAAATATCCACCAGGAGGTTTTTATATTTGCCCAAGTCACATAGATAGTGAGGAAGCTGAGTTAGAATTCGTATTTCTTAACTTTTTTTCAACTGCCCTTTCTGCTACACTATGACACAATAGAATGTCAGACCCTGTCTCTTACTAGTCCCGTCCAACCCCACGTTGTGTTGTAGTCAGCCTTAAAAAGTTCTTAGGATTAAATAAATGAAATCTATGTCTATAAAAAATTGAGAATTCTTATTTTAAAAACAGGACTCTTTACTTCATTTAAATTACTGTCTTGCAGTGAGTTGGCCAGGAGGAACGCATCTCCTTGTTCACATATATGTAGACCCATGCGATGAATGGGAAAAGAGCCATTACAATGGCAATAGCCAACTGAATCCTTCCACCAACTGGATTCCTACAAAGACACAAAAATTATTACAAATAAAAATCCAATAAAAAGTATAGATTGCTTTGGAAACAAGTATAAAGATAGACTTTGGTAAAATACATCATTACTTTTTCTTTTACTTTTTTTTTTCTTTATTGATTTTTTTTAGAGAGTGAGGAAGTGGAGAGAGAGAGAGAGAAACATTAATGAGAGAGAACATCAATTGGCTGCCTTCTGCATGACCCCCACTGTGGATCAGGCCCACAACCCAGGCATGTGTCCTGACCAGGAATCAAACTGGCGACCTCTTGGTGCATGGGTCAATGCTCAACCACTGAGTCACACTGGCTGGTCCATCATTACTTTTTTGGCCCCTTTTCAAAAAATTTTTATTGAAATATAACTGATCTTATGAATTATTTATATATTCTTAATTCAAATCCTTGTTTATATGTATTACAAATAGCTTTTCCCACTCAGTGATGTGTTTTGAAGAACTGAAGTGATTGACTAATTAAGCAATGTTAAAATTAATCTTTTCATGATGATTTTTGTGTCCTGTTTAGGAAAACTTTCCCTCTCCAAGGTCTTGAAAAGTTATCTTCTCTAAAATTTTAATTGTTTTGCTTTCACATTAGCTCGATAATCCTCCTGGAATTGATATTTATGAAAGTTGTAAGGTAAGGGTTTTACTTTTTTCCTATATGGATATTCAATTGCTACAACAGTATTTATTGAAAAGACTGCCTTTCTTTGCTTCCCTGCAGTGCCACTACGTCAGAAGTCAAGGGTCTGTATGGATGGATCTCTTTCTAGATTCTATTTTGTGTCATTAATTTATCCATTTGCCAGTAATAGATTTAGCCTATGCTGCCACAGAATAATTATTTAGGTCTTCCTTATTTTAATATTTAGATTTTCTTTAATTTTTCCCATAATATTTTATAGTTTTGGGCATAGATATTTTATATGTCTGCTAGATTTTTTACCTAAGGAGTTGATTTTTTTATGCTGTTATACATGGTAACTTTTTGTTTTTATTTTGTTACTTGGTGATAAAAGTACAGTAGATTTTAGTATATTGACCTAGTATCCAGTAATCATGTTAAACTCACTTATACAAATGACTTCTTAGATTCTTTTTGATTTTCTATGATATAAATCATGTCACCCATGAATAATGAAAATTTACTTTTTCCTTTTTAATCTTTGGGCATTCTGTTTCTTTTTCTTGCCTTACCGTACAGGTTAGGACAATATAGACTAGAAGTATCTATAGTGACTAATCTCACCTCATTCCAGAGGGAAAGTTTCACCTGCTCACTATTAAGTATCATGCTTTGGCATAGACACCCTTTATCAGGTTAAGTTCCCCTGTATGCCTGTTTTCTAAGAGATTTTATCATCAGTGGATATTGGATTTTATCAAATGCTCTTTTTGTATAGATTGAGAAGATAGTTCTTTTATTCGGTCAATGTAGAAAGCATTGGTGGCTTTTTGAATATTAAAACTAGCTGTATTTCTAGAATAAACACAACTTGGTGGTTGGGTTATGTATTGCAGGATTTAATTTGCTTATGTTTTGTTTAACATTTTTCCATCTGTGGTCATAGTGATAAAATTTCCTTTTGTTTGTTTGGTTTTTTTTGTCATGTTCTTGTCAAGTATTGGTATCAAGAATATTATGCCCTAATAAAATAAATTGGAAAGTGTTTCTTTTACTGTTCTCTGAAAGTTTGTTGAAGTTTGGCATTATTTCTACCTCAAGAAATGTTAGACAGAATTCTCCAGTTATGCCATTTGGTCTAGAGTTTTCTTTTAGGAAAAATTTAAATTATGGACTCAATTTCTTTAATATTTATGGGACTGTTCTAAGAATTTCTTGTGTCAATTTTGATAAATTGTATTTTTTAATGAATTTGTCCACTTTTGTCTACATTTTCAAATTTATTGGCAAAAGTTGTTCATAGTATCCACTTATGATTTTTGCAATATCTATTAGACATGTAGTAACGTTCTGTTTTTCATTCCCGATATTGGTTATTTGTGCCTCCTCTTCTTTGCTCTCACTCTTACTATTTTTCCCTTTTTAGACTTGCCAGGACTTATCAATGTTACAAATCATTTCAGAGAAGGAATATTTGACCTGCTTAATCCTCTCTTTTTTATGTTGACTTTTCATTTCATTGGTTTCTGCTTTTATGTTTATTTTCTTCTTGCTTCTTTGTGTTTAATTTGATGTTCTTTTTCTACCTTCTTGAATTGGAGAATTCCTAACTTTTTGGAAGCTCAGCTCATTGATTTTCACCCTTTTTTGTTTTTTAAATATATCTATTTAGGTTATAATTTTCTCAGCATGATTTTTAGCTGCATTCCACACATTTTACTATATAATATTCTCCTTATTGTGTTCAAAATATTTTTCTAAAATCCATGTGATTTTTTTTTATCAAATTTAATTTGGAAGTGTATTTTCTAATTTCCAAACATACAATGATTATCTAATTATTATTTTTTTATTATTTTTTTAAATCCTCTCCCAAGGACACTTTTGCATTCATCTTCAGATAGGGCGAGAGGGAGAGAGGAAGAGAGAGAGAAACATCGATGTGAGAGAGACACATGGAGTGGTTGCCACTCACATGACCCCAACCGGGGCCGAGGCCAAACTGCATCCGAGATACATGCCCTTAGCGGGAACTGAACCCGGGTCTCTCTGGACCGTGGGCTGATATGATGCTCTATCCGCTGAGCCAAACCAGACAGGGCTCATTATTTTTGTTAATTATTTCTAGCTTAATTGCACTGTAGTCAAAGAAAGAACACTCTCTGACATTTGCTGGGTCTTATTTCATGGCCCAACATAGTCTTTTTGTAAATGTTCAATGTGTACTGGAAAAGAACGTGAATTGTGCCGTTCTTGGTGCTAATGTTCTGGCTATGTCCATTAGGTCAAGTTTCTTATTGTGTAGCTCAAATTGTCTATATCTTTATTGATTCTCTTTTATTTTGTTTTGTTTTCTTGTATGATAGTGACTGAAAGAAGTCTTATAAAGTCTCCCAAGATGATTGTAGATTTTTCAATTTTTCTTTTTAGTTCTGTCAATTTTTGTTTTATCTATTTTGAGACTATGTTACTAGTTTTATACAAATTTAGAATTCTTATTATCTGTCTGATACATTATACATTATATATAATGAACTCAATACATTATATACAATAAATAATGATTTATTATACTTCCTGATTTAATAAATCTTTAGTCATTAAAATGTGTCTTTCTTTGTCATCTTAAATCCACTTTTTAATTTTGGATCAATTCTTTATACCTTCACACTAGGATAAATTCTAAATACATCAAAGATTTAAATGTGGAAATGATACTGTACATGTATTAGAAGAAAACTTAATTTATTTGACAACCTGAGAGGAAAGAAACATTTCTTATGACTCCAAATGAAAAAGCAGTAAGGGAAAGGATTGATATATTTAGTTACATTGAACTCAAAATATTTTCATGGCAAAATTAAAGGACAGTAAGAAACCCAAAAAACAAAATTTTTTTTAGCTATGTCACAAAGGGTTAATAGCCATAGTATATAAAGAGCTTCTAAGCCCTGGCCAGTTTGGCTTAGTGGTTAGAGTGTCGGCCCAGGGACCAAAGAGTCGTGGCTTCAATTCCGGTCAAGGGCACGTATCCCGGTTGCAGTTTGATCCCCAGCCCTGATTGGGGTCGTTCAGGAGGCAACCAGTTGATGTGTCTCGTTCTCTCTCTCCAATTTCTCTCTCTCCCTCCCTCCCTCTCTTCACCTCTCTCTCCCTCTCCTCCATCTTCCTCTCCCTCTCCCTCCCTCCCTTCCTCACTCCCTCTCTATCTGAAGATAAATGGAAAAATATCCTTGGGTAAGGATTTTAAAAAAAAAATCTTACTGATAGAAAATAAATATTTTTAAAAAAGAGCTTCTAAGAATAGAGAAACAGGTCAAACCTGTATCTCTCAGCGATGAACCAATATTTTATATAAAAAAGAAATGCAAATAACTCTTATTAGTTATTAGGCTCACTTTTGCTCCTAATAAGAAAAATGCAAATTAAAACTACCCATTTCTCAACTATTTGGTTAGTAAAAATATACTCGGTTGGTATTATATTTAATAGTAACAGATTTGATGCACTAAACAGTAGAGGACTGAATACACTATGAACCTATCAGCAGAGTAAGGAAAGTCTGTATATAGTACAGACGGAGCTCTAGGATGTAGTAATGGAAAAAGCCACAGCGAGGGCAGTTGTGTATTATATAAATATACCTCCACTTATCTAAGACAGGCAGGAATACAATAAATGCACATATTTGCTCCATGGAAGGATAAACCATAAAACTGAAAAAAGTTTCACCTGTTGAGAAAAGGAGTATAGGGTTGGGGGACCAGGAAGCTAGAATTCTTGGAATATACTTTGTTTTGAAGATTTGACTTTGAAACCATGTAGATACTTTATATAATTATAAAACAAAATATATTTTAAAGTTATCCCTGGAAATGAAAATAGAATGAACTTAACTGTTTTCACTTGTTAGTGTTAGCACACAGAGTAACTATCCCAAGTGATTTGAATATACATCCCTTAGAGACCTGTTCCCTACCAACATGAAAAACTCCAAAAAACCTGTTTTCCATAATCATACTGTCATTCTGAGGTTGTGTTTGTTTTGTGGGATAAGTCAAATGAGTTATGTTAAGGACATTGAAACTAGAGATTTTTGACACGATTAAAAGGAAATACAGATGTAAGATTGCTGATAAGGTTAAATGTAAATCTGTGTTCTTGAATTTGAATTGCTAGGATCAGTAGAAACTCAAGATATTTATAGTATATGTGTAAAATTATTACCTTTATATGTGTAATATGTACATATTGCACATATATGGATTTCCTAGCCCTGTCCACTAAAAAGACCTACCTGTCCAGTAGAACCAGCACTGCTCATGCCTAGATTGTGACCTCTAAATACCATTATCTACCAGAAGTATCCAGGGCTTTTTGGGAAAATGGTTGATTCCAGGTCTGGGGCATAAAATGTACAACATTATTTTGGAACATTTTGTCATACCAGAAAGCAATCAAATATCACTAGGGTTATGTCAAAAAGAATTCAGAATCCAAACCTGAATAAGTGCCACTGGTTGAGGTCACCTGAAGCATCAGTAAAGATGGTAACGTCCATGCACTGACAACATCAGCTGTGTTGAAATCCATGACTTTTTAATGATACTACTAACACAACCCTCATTGGCCACTTATGGAAGGTGCCCAGGCATGAAAGTCTCATTATTTTGAAAATTGGTAAATTGAGAATCACCCCCCCCCTTTCCTCTTATGATCTGTATCTCAAAGAATTGATCACTGGAAGTTTCTATCTATAGGAAATTTCCAACTAATAATCAAATGGTAAATTGAAATACCATTTTTGCAACTCGAATTAATGGACTTAGTTAATAATCACCAGACTATTAACATTACAAAGAAACAGCTAGGCGTTATGTACATTATGATGGAAGTACATAATACTACCCATGAAGTAGTTTTGCTTTGCAAATAGTAGTTTTACTATTATTAATAGTAATAATACCAGAATCAGGCCAGGCCTCTAGATCTAACCATCAACTGATTGGAAATACAGAGCACAGAGGAACAAACATTTACCAGACAGTTGGAAAAATGTACACATTGACTGGAAAACTCAATTCTGAATTCTTTTATTTTTTGTGTGTGATGATGGTAGAATGATTTTTTTAAGTGCTTTTACTGATACATACTGAAATATTTACAGATAAAACAATATGGGATTTATTTCAAAATAAGTGGAGAGAACTGTGATATAGATGAAACAAGATTGGACATATATTGATAATTGTTTAAACTAGGTGATGGGTACATCTGATTCATTATATTAATCTCTGCTTTTGTATATGAATGTTTTTAAAATAAAAAAAAATTACAAAAAAAAGTCCTTTTTCTCTAATGCTGGTTTTAAAGTCTGCTTTTTAAAATTAAAACTGCTGTACTAGCTTTCATTTGGTTGGTGTTTGGATAGTGTCTTTTTTCCATCTTTGACTTTCAATCTTTCTGTATCTGTATATTTAAGGGGCATTTTTTTGTAAGCATTGTTTAGTGGGTTTTTAATCTTTTCATCCACTTTGAAAATCTTTGACTCTTAATTGGAATATTTGGAACATTTACACTTAATGTAATTTCTCATATATTTGGGTTTCTCTAAACATCTGTGTCCTATTTCTCCCATCTGTTCTTCCCCCTTCTCTTTTCCTGCCTTCTGTACACTAATTCTTTTAGTGGTTACCCTAAGGATTACCACATGAATCCTTGACTTGTCAAAGTTTAATATAAATTGGTACTTCCTAGACAATTTAAGGATCTTAGAACATTGTACCTTCATTTATTCCCTTCTACTTATATACTACTCTTGTCATGTATTTTTATTTTTTATATGTTTAAGCCTACAAAGTATCATCGTTATTGTTATAAAGTTAATATTCATTTATATGTACTCACTTTTCTTTAATTTGCTCTTCATTCTTCCCTAAATCTCCAAACTTCCTTCTGAGATAATTTTCCTTCTCCCTGAAGAACAACCTTTATGCTGGCAACTCCCTGTGATTACACTGGGCCACGTAGGAGACTATAGTATTCGTGAAAGTATAAATGATCATGAAATGTTGAATCAACTATTACTAGGTTTCCATTGGGAAGGAAATTTTTCTTTCAAAAGATTACAGTTTTTATTTGTGTTTCAATATTCTCACTAACCTACTTGATCTGATCAACCTTGAACACATCTGATTTGAAAACTTACTTTGGTGAGCTGTAACATAGACTTATCCATGCTGAGATAATCACCAGACCAAACAGCTCCCTGTAAAAGAGCATACATTTCATTTCTGGAGCGGCTGCAGGGGAGACGCACATAATCCCATTATCTCGTGGCGCTTGATTTCTGATTGTTGAATGACTTCCCCAAGATATGTAGCATCTATAGAATATTTTAAAGTCTGGCATGATTCACAAGTTATTTTTCTCAGTTTCAATCCCTATATAAAAATAAGTTTCATTTTATGAAGCATTTATGAACTCTATGACTGTTCCTCAAACTAGAAGTGAGCAAAAAACCAATAGAACAAATCTACAGCTAAATCACTCATGTCACTGGGTAGAATACTACAGGACACTTTCGACTGGATCAGGTATTCTTTTTACATTGTTTTAGAGTGTCGAGTGTTAGGCAGGTTGAGCACAAATCAATCACTCCAGCACGTGTATCGCAGAGGTTGGGTCACATCTTCACGAGGAGAAATGATTTGTAGTGTAAACCAGACTAATGATTTTGAGGTGGATATATGCTAGAAATAATGTATTAACACGTATCTTTTACAGAGTAGAAAATTGTATTTGGCCACAGTACAGAGCCCCACTTTCAGTTCACCCTACCTTGTAGGCTTCAAGTTGGTGGAAGTGATTTAACCCATTTGGTCTACATCCTTATTGACTGACCAAACCTGATCCAGTTCTCCTAGGATCAGGGCCTATAATGTAGCAGCGCCTCACCAGTGATACCTGCTTTACACAGGCCTCTCAGTCTCCCTGCTGGCAGAGGTTAGCAAGGGGATACAAAGGAAAGGAAACTGTTAGTGAGGCCAGGAAGTCAGGGCGGCGGGAAGCAAAGGAAGAGTTAGTAAGAATGAATGGCCATGACAGAAGGAAATGACGAGATAAACCAGGGCGAGGTTGGCCTCAGGTGGCTGATCACACATACAGATAACGTTTTAGCTTGAACTAGACCTGACTCGGTGCTGATGGAGTTGTCACCTTGTTAGACTGGACTGTTACTGTATAGTATCCTTGCTCGGTACAAGGAGGCTGAGGTGCAACTGCCTGGTGGTGACGGAATGTAACATGCAGTGGCCGCCTGGAGAAGGGACCGCGGAGTGCCAGATGGTGCTGGGTTTGAACCTTGGTTCATTCACCCTGCTTTCTTCATGGTGTAGTTGGAGACACTAAATCACTGAGCACAGGTAATGTGTAAAGGAACAAGAATTTCCAGTTTTTCCCACTGCTCCCAGAGAGCAAAAATCAGTGCTCACCTGCCTTCTTCCTCGTGCAAGATGTTCCACTGTGTGTGAAGCGTGAGGTAGTAGGCCAAGCCGATAGCCCACACCATGCAAAAGAACATGTGGACTGCAGAGATACTCTTCCAAATAAAGTTGCCTAAAAACAGAAATCATGGAATCACATCCCAGAGAAAAATAGTCTCTTAGTATTTGCTTTGCTGTCGTCTGCTTTCAGGCAAAGCATTCAGAATAGGCTGGGTTTTGTTTCGTTTTGAAGGATGTCATAGAAGTTAAAGTTATAATTGTAAACTTAGGTGGACGCTGATTACTTTGGTCATCCAGCATCTCTTTGTCCTGTGATGACTACCCTTGTTTCCTTTGGGAATCCACCCTTCCCGTGCTCCGGGCCACGTGGACCTGCGCTAGGTCAGTCAATGCATCAGTTAGTGACAGTTTAGCTCAGGATGAACAGATGACAAGTCAAGGCCAACAACTCAATTCTTGAGATTCTTGTGACATCAGGAAAGTGGATTCTGTATTGTGTGGACTTATTCTGGTGAAGATGTGAACTTGGAGCTGCTGGGCTACCACGTGGAGCCAAGACTGAAGTCAGTGCAACAGATGGTGGAACTGAGAGGTCAGAGAAGTTTAAATGCTGAGCCCAGTGCCCGAAGCCAGCAGCACCCTTGTCAGTCAGGTGTCCCAAAACATCTACTTTTTAGCCTAGAGCCCATTTGAGTTTAGTGTTTTCCTTGCTTGCAGTGAATGGATCCCTAGAGTTCTAAGGGCCTGTACAAGGAGCCCGTGCTCCTAGGGGATAGGAGTTTTCCCCACCCACATGGCACTCAGTCTTTATTCTAAGGCCCTGAGAACTTTCAAGCCCTACTAGTAGAAGCTGTTTTAAAGAACATAAACAAGCCTGGTCAGTGTAGCTCAGTGGCTGAGCATTGACCCATGCACCAAGAAGTCACCGGTTTGATTCCCGGTCAGGGTCCATGCCCAGGCTGTGGGCCAAATCCCCAGTGGGGGGCATGCAGGAGGTGGCCAGTTGATATTCTCTCTCATCAATGTTTCTATGTCTCCATCTCCCTTTAAAAAAACCAATAATGAAAAATAAGCCCTGGCCATTTTGGCTCAGTGGTTGAGCGTCGGCCTGCAGACCAGAGAGTCCTGGGTTTGGTTCCTGCTAGGGGCATGTACCACACACACACAAAAAAGACAAAAATAATAATAATAAAGTAAAGAATAACTTATAGGGTAACATTCCCCGTTAATAAGAAAATATTAATAAATTATGTATTTTTTCTAAGACACTGTATTTTATAGCATAAAATTGTCCAACTTAAGGTTTGTTGAGAGTTTTTAGGACCATAAAAGGCAGAGCAGCTACATTTTGCCCATAACTGAGGTAGGTATCCTTTGGGAAATACAAACTAGATATTCTGAGTGAATTTTTTACATGTATTCCCACCTGGGATAGATACATATGTAGGGAGTCCAAGAAGCACATTATGCAATAAGTACATGATAAAGCCTTTGTTTTATAGCCATTCATTCATTGACAAGCATTTTATTAAGTCTCCATTCAGAATCCAAGGTTCATACCTGTGACAGGAGGGTTAAGTCCAACAAGCAAGGTCAGCACTGCAGGAATCATATACACAACCTGTCAGCAAAAGGAGAGGAAGTCATGTGAGCTAAGAAGCGTCTGCATGTCCAACGTAGATGTGCAGAAGTCTTGAGGCAGTAAAGAGAGATGACACCAGTGGCCACCACACTCCACGGACCCTAAATTTCAGTAACAGGCGAAGTGGTAACCTCTGTCTTTATGGCACTTACCATGTCAGGTCATCATTTCATCTGCCTTCCTCCTGGATTGTAGGCTATTCTAGGAAAGGCTCGTCCTTCTTTGACCTCTAGCGTTGAGCCGTGTGGGTCTCAAGACATGCTGACCTCCTGACCTCTCCCAAGCAACATCCATGCCTAGATGGCCTTGCCCCACTTGCATAAAAGAAAATGCTCTTTGACAAGTAGGGTAGGAGTAGCCATAATCAGTGACATGGCCCTGCTGGGTCTGGCACGGAGGACCGTCCAGCCCAATATTCCATCTCTGCAAGTGAGACCACAGAACAATCGATCCGATGTGCCCAGGAAGGCCAGGCTCTTCATCTTGGAAACTGTTAGTAAATTGGTTTGGAGTTTGGAAGACTTGCCCTTAAGGGGCCCTATTTTCAAGTCTCCATAGCAAGCAGCCTCTCCCCAACCTGCTCTTGCATGCGTATGTCAGAAAGAGAGCACGTAAGGATATGGTAGGTTTACAAGAAACACGGGGCTTTCCCAGAAACGGAGTTGCTGAACCACGTTAATTGCTATCCTTACATCAGAAACATTTCGTTTATTTGGTAGTTGTCAACTGTACATTTTAAGTGATTTGCTGTCACTGTAAAAACATGTCTGTCTTGACCCCAGACAGAGAACACCTGGATTATACAGAGTGTTCATCGTTCCTACTCCATCCCTCATGAGTACTGGTGTACTGGCCAATATCCAGTCAGGTACCTGCCACAGGTGGGCAGTCATGCTACTGGGGGCTGGGCCAGTGCTTCCCATTCTTTAATGTGCATATGAATCACCTGGAGATCTTATTAAAATGTAGATCTGATTCTCAAGCTCCGGGGTAGGGCCCAAGATTCTGCTTTTCTAATGAGCTCCCAGGGGCGGCGGCGGCTGCAGTTCCAGGGACCACACTCAGAGCAGTGAGGGGTTACTTTCCCTGTGAGAAACTAGATGGCTTAGCCAAAGAGAGAGAGGGAGAGGGAGAGAAGTTACACACACACAGGCCATACAATATTTAATTGTGCTTTTCATAAGAAATGTTTGGCAGAGATTTTAAAAATGCGCACTCAAATATATCCGGTATCTGTGACTGACAGAGTAAAGGATATAAGATCCTATTTCAGTATATTGTAAACATATGAACAAAACAACCCTTAAAACTAAGTAATGGTTTCCCATGTTAATTGTGCCATGTTAATCCTTATTTAAATTCTTTTCTCTGTCTTGATTGAGATAACCATTTTTTGAGTGCAGAGAGACTGAAAATAATTGTTTTTAGTAAGACAAGTAAAAATGCACAGTATAAAAATGAACTCAGTAGAACTCATTTTAATAGTCTTTTATCTTTCTGTTGGTGGTGTTTTTTGTTTTTTGTTTTTTAAACTAAGGGTAGCATAATATTTATTTACATTATTTAGTTTAATTCAGCACACAATCATCGAGTCCCTTGGCAGTCATTCTTAATACTCCTGCTCTCCCTTGTCCACTTGCCACTGTAAAAACGGAAAAGTCCATTTGTTTTCCCAGCCTCTTGTAGCAGCAAGGGGTGATCCTGCTCCAGCAATGCAATGTGAAGTCTTTAGGGGCAAAGCTGATACTCAAAGTACTTAATAACCAACATGGATGGGTGCTGACTAAACAGAATGGATCCCAGTCCATAAGCCATATCTGTGTGTACAAACTAAACAGCCTGCCTGAAGAGCTTCGTGGGAAACATTTCTTCCCTGATAAAAGGGAAGAAAGCACAGGAGAAAAACTCATTTTGTTCTTGCCTTGTTTCTTCCTACATGGGATTCTCTTGTCTGGGGATGAGATGTTGGGAGCTGCAGCAGCCATTCTATAAACATGAGAAGATATATCACTTACAGATTGAGGAGCAGACGAGACAGACAGAAAGCCCAGGTCCTTGATGACACTGTTGACCATTAAGCAGCTGCCTCTGAACTTTTTGTTAAGTGAGATATTCTGTATTTTTATAACCTGATGGTAGTCAGATGTTCTATTATTTGCTCCCGTATGCATCTTGATACAAGTATGCTTCATGAGTAAGATGAAGTAGGAAACATGGAAATGAATAAGATGCAGTACAAGCCCCAAGGCCCAGTAACCTAGTATTCATTCATCTGTGCATTCATTCATTCTTCCATTTATTCAAAAGTCAATATGAGCAGGACTGCTATAGGAAGGCACTATGTTAGGCTGCCTGAGGACCACCAAGAGGAAGGTACTGGCCCCGGCCCCTCAGAGCTGGTACTTACAGAGTCAATTCTAATGCAAGAAAAGTGTATTAGTGCTACAATAAAGGCTCAAAGGAATGGCTGGAACCTACAGGAAAGAAGCAGAGATTTGGGGGGATGAGAGAGACCTTGAAGCTTGAGTAGAGTATGACATACAGGAATTCTAGGGGCCAGGCACAGTAACTATTATAGATAGCCGGGGCTGAAAAAGTGGGTTGGGGCCATATTGTGATGGGCCTTGAATGCCAAGTTGGAGAGTTTCAACTTAGACATCTTGAGAAATGACAAAAGTTTTCAAAGTAGGAAGCAAAATATATGTTTTCAGTGGAAGAGATTAGAGGTAGCTAGAAGAGTTGGGTCCATGGGGGAGGTAATAGCTAAATTGGGAATGAGGAAGGATGTCTGTGAGGACATGTGTTTATTATTCATATTATGTCATCTAAGCATGAAGGGATGGTTGGAACCTACATAGGTTAGAATCTATCTAGGTAAAATGTACGACATAGATAAGCAATTAGGCCTACACTGGGTTTTTTTGTTATCGTTCAATTGCTTTGTTTTTTTATTTTTTTTATTATTTTTTTTCAGGGGATCTCGAAGACAGTGGTAAAGAACAGAGAGGTGTTCGAGATAACAGGTTTTGAGCCAGGATGACGCAGAATGATTCTGCTGATACTAGAAATGGACGAGTCAGGATGAGTGGGCTTTGGAGGGAAAGATGCTGGCTGGGACCTTAGGGCCTTTGAGGAGCCAGTGTGACATACAAGTGCTTTTGCAAATTCAACAATAAGCTGCATATTTGACACTTGTCTGCAGGGAAATGATATTTGGAACTCAGGATACAAGCTGGAGTGCTGAGGAAAAGGCAATTTTGATTCAGGGACATGTGAATCTGGACAGTAGGAGAATGTAGTTCTATTGCACTAAAAAACTGACTAGAATTCAGCGTTCTGATTTCAAATGCGTTCACTTGTTGCTAATCTGTACATAGTTGACATTATTCCAAAGCCTAAAATCATCTCATCGGTGATATACAGTCTTGTGTATCTGTATTGAAAGAAACTGGGCAAAATCCAAATATTTCAGAAAGATGTGTAGAATAACCCCCCCCCCCCTCCTTCCATGGTTCAGTAAGAGCACTGGTTCAATGTATACTGTAGGTTTTATGGGCTTCAGCTACTTTCTACAAATATAACTCTGCTGACTTAGCAGAACCACAAACCTTAAGCCTGCCTTTTCTGGTCAGATGTTTATTGGAGTCTCTGGGGAGAAACTCATGAGGAGTGGTTCAACTGACCTTGAGAGGTCTACTCTGTGTCCTCAGAAAAGTATCCTCAGTTGGACCATTTTATTCAAAGGGAATACTGCTAAAAGACCCCCCCCCCCCAATCTCTCTGGAAAATTCTGAATTCATACACATACACAGTACATTATCACTCTGACCCATCTCCCACTAATAGGGAAAAGAGCTTACAAAGGATTTGATGTCGAAGTTTTTAAGTAGCAAATAGATAATATTGTGTGTTTGGTGCAGTTACAGTTCTTTCAGATGAAGGAAAGCAGCTCATACTCACCACCCAGAGCTCTGCATCCGGATCATTTACCTGGAACGCCAAAACATCGGGTATTAGCAGACATACTGTCATGTTACGTTCCTGTGCTGGGTCTGCTCTTTGATTCATCTCAGACATTGGTTACATGCCAGATGCTTCAGTAGGCGCCCAACAGGCCCCGAGGGTACAAAGCAGGAATAAGACATGGTCTAGCAGATCATGATGGGAGAAGGGGCTTCTGGCTGCACACGGCAGACGGTTTGGCCATCCAGCCCACCACTGTCAAGAACTGCAAGGCTCTGACACAGATGGGTGACCCAAACCTAGACAAGGAGGGGGGCCTGGAGTGGGCCTGAAAGCCTAACCTGCTACCAAGGGTTTTGTTCCCAGGCCCTAACGGTTCAGTCTCATCCACAGGCGAATTCTAAGAAGCTGAAGCTGCTTCTGCTCAGGTCCCTTTCTTTTAAAAAAAATTATTTTTATTTTTTGGTAAATGCTTTTGAGAGGAGAGAGAGAGAGAGAGAGAGAGAGAGGGAGAGAAAGGGAGAGAGAGGGAGAGAGAGAGAGAGAGAGAGAGAGAAAGAGAAAGGGAGAGAGAGGGAGAGAGAGAAGGGGAGAGAGGGAGGAGGGGGAGAGAGGGAGGAGGGAGAGAGAGGGAGAGAGAGAGAAGGGGAGAGAGGGAGGAGGGAGAGAGAAAGGGAGAGAGGGGAGGAGAGAGAGAGAGAGAGAGGGAGAGAGAGGGACAGGGGGAGAAAGAAACATCCACCTGCCCTCTCCCGCACGCCCCCTACTGGGGATGGAGCCTGCAACCCAGGCATGTGCCCCACCAGGAACCCAACAGGCCACCTCTCCGTGCATGGGTCGCTCAACCACTGGGCACACTGGCCGGGTGCTGAGGTCCCTTTCAAAGTGACACGCTGAACCAGCTTCTTCCAGCATTTGAACAAGAGAGGGGTGTGGTGGGGCCACTGAACGAACACACCTTTGTCCTAGGTGGGGGAACAGGGGGGGGTTCCAGAGCGTAACACTCAGTTCCTGCCCTCCACCCAAGCTGCCCGGCGCCGCCACCCTGCCGGCTGGTTGGTCTACACCGCAGGCCGGGCCTGGGCACCGAGCGTGGAGCCGGGCGTCCTGTGGGACCCGCAGGCCCCTCTCCCACCGCCCTCCACCCGCCTCCGGGCCGGGCCGCTGACCTGCACCAAGGCCGCCAGCGCGAAGAAGGCGGCCATCAGCGCATTGCAGGCCCTCCAGAGGGCGGGCGCCCACCCCGCCGCGGGCGCCATGGGCTCGGGGAGCGGCGGGCGGAGCGACGGGAGGGGGGGCAGCGGGGCCGCCCCGTCCTTCCGCCCAGAAGGCCCGCCCCGCCCCGCCCACCCCGCCCGGTTCGCTCCGCCCCGCCCCGCCCGGTTAGCTCCGCCCCGCCCGGTTAGCTCCGCCCCGCCCCGCCCCGCCCCGTTAGCTCCGCCGACCCGCCGAGGCCCCTGCCCGCCCCGCCAGGTGGGGAGCCCGCGCCCTCAGCTGTGCTCTCCCCACCGCTGCTCCCGAAGCGGCCAGGGGAGGGGTCCCTGCCCCAGGTCATGCGGGACAGCGCCCCGGAGGAACTGCACGGCTTGCCCGAGGCTGCGCAGCTCCTGGCGGGGGAGGACGTGGCATCTGACCCCGATAGGTCAGCTCCATTGCTTGCTATCCCTGAAGCTACCTTTCTCACACTAAAAAAATTTTAAAAAGGAAAATGAAGAAAGAAGAGAGTGAGAGCATGGAAGTAGGGAACAGACGGACACACTTCAGAGGGAAGGGAGAAGGGAGTGCAGGGGGAAGGGGGTGCAGGGGGAAGGGGGTGCAGGGGAAGGGGGTGCAGGGGGAAAAGCTCAACCAAACAACTTGTAGCACGTATGCGCCACCGGTGGGCACAGACAATAGTGGGGAAGGCAGGAGGGGGTGGGAGCGGGAGGAGGCGAGGGGGGGGTCAGTGGGGAAAAAGGGGGGACATCAGTAATACCCTCAACAATAAAGATTTTTAAAAAGGAAGAAGAGAGATGTGTGCGTGTTGGTGTGTGTTTTCTGGTGAGTATTTATGCATCTCTTTCCAAAGCTCAGGATCTTTCCGAGCCCTGTAAGCATTATGGTAATTTCTGAGAGCGACTCGGCTCTATTAGCATCGCATACGGTTCACAGCCCTGCCACCGGCAGGCTCATTTATCACGCTTTTTCTTTCTTTTTTAATCATAAAAGGTATTTACATATTATACATATTTACAATTCGTTCCCACCACCAAAACCAACAAAATTTTCACATGCGCTGCTCATGAATTTCTTATGAACTAAAGACACTGAAATATTCACTGTCCTCCCCTCGCTTGTTTTACTCTTTTTTTTCTGTTTTGTAATGTACCCTTCTGATTAGTTCTTCCCCGGACTCATTTACACATGCATAGGCCTCATGATTTTTGCTGTTCTAGAGTCTTTATCACTTCAAGTCATGAGCCTGTGCTCCTGTCTGCCTCTCCTTTTAAATACTCTCCTAACACTCTTTAGGAATTTTTTCTCTCGGTTTCATTCCTTTCAAGGAATGCTGATTTCGAGAACATCACATGCGTGGTGCCTGGTCCGGGGTGAGGGGCAGGGACCAGGAAGATGGAGTGGCTGAGGGCTCCCCGGGAAGGGAGCTGCACTCTGGCTCCAGGAGGGCACGTGTGGCCACCCACCCGAGGATCAAGGCTGCCAGAGGTGGGGCAGGGAGTCCCTCCACTACATCAGCGGTGGGACTGGGGACAAGTCGAGACCACCCTCACTGTCCTGTTCCTTATCTGAGAAAAATAGGAGAGGGTAGCCTGTTATGGGCTGAATTCTGTCCCCTTGACAATTCACATGTTGAAGTCCGAACCCCCACGTACCTCAGAATGTAACTGTATTTGGTGACAGGTAAATGAGGTCACAAGGGTGGGCCCTAATCCAATATGACTGGTGTCCTTAGGAGAATAGGAGATTTGGACACAGATATGTACGGAGAAAAGACCATGTGAGGACACAACAAGAAGACATCCTTTTGCAAGCCAAAGAGAGAGGCCTCAGAAGGACCTCACCTGCTGACACCTTGATCTGGGACTTCCAGCCCCCAGAACTATAGTCAGAAAAGAGATGTCTGTTGTTTAAGCGCCCACCTCCCCCATCTGTGGCACTTTGTTATGGCAGCCTGAGCAAAATAATACAGGGAGTGATTTTGATACCTGCTCTGTCAGGGTAAGAGCGGCGTGAAAACGCTTGGTAAATTATTGTGCGCCATACCACTGTGGAGGGTCATAATTTTCACTGTTGTTTGGGATCTCTAGGGTCACTGTGTGGACATTTGTTGTATGCGTCTGCACAGGGTCATTCCCCGTCTTCTAGGGTCAGCATCCCAATTACGTGACAGGGACCCCATCTTCCACTGTCAGGGCATGTATTCCAGGAGGGCTGACCGTGCTCCCCGCTCTGCAGAGATCGGCAGGGGACCTGGCCTGCCAGGGGCGTAGCCCATCCTCCTGGCCTGGTCTGGGATGGTATGTGATCCAAATTGCCCAGATTCAATCCTAGGACATGCGCTAGACTGAGGGTTGTCAGATAAAATGCAGGTTGCTTAGTTACATTTGAATTCCAAATCAACTAGGGATCATTTTTTACTATAAATGTGGCCCACATAATTGCTACATCTGGTAACCCTAGCTGGACTGTTAAAGAGAAGCTGGCTTTTTGCTGAGCGTCGAGCGGGAAGCAGGTAAGAACTCACGGAGAGGAGCGGAACTCAGAGATAAAGAAGGCTGAGAACGTCACGGAGGCTCTGGATCCAGCCACACCTGAAGCTGGGGACTACCTCCCAGCCCTTCAGTTCTGTAAGCCAACAAAGTCTCTTCTTTTCATATAAACCTGTGTGAGTTGAGTTTTTGTCACCCGTGACACAAAAAGGTGACTTGTATAATCACGACTCAGTAGTTAAGCTTGAAATCCTCTACCCCCCTCTGCTGTATGTTTGTCCAGACTTTGCAAGGATAGGGAAGAGAAGTCTTTAAAACGTAATGAGAAATAAGTTTAAATGAACCCAGTATCCCAGAGAGCTCTGCCTGAGGGGTCGTTTCAGTGTACCTTTCCACTGCGGTCGTACACTACTGTAGAGACGCTGAGGTTTGGAGGGGGGTAGGGGCCTTCCCTCTGCAGAGAAGGCAGCACAGGCCCTTCATCCTGCTGGGCTGCCCCCTGGCCACCAGGTCAGTGACAGCGTCGTGAAAGCAATCAGAGCCACGGTGCCAGGCGAGGGGGACTTGCTTCTCCACCAGCATCCAACAGTACCTGGGCAGCACGTGCACAGCTGTCCTCCAAGAACCGGGAAACCGCAAGAGGTGCTTGCGTATTCTGAGTAGGATTATCAATCCCAAGCTGGGAAATGGAGCAGAGACTGGCAAGCTCACAGGAAGACATAGATGGGCCCCAGGGCCACCTGATTGAGAGAGAGCTGAGGAACACATGAACATGTTTCAAAGAGCGCAGCAGAGCGTGGTTGGCTGGCCGTGGAAGTCCAGACATGTCATGTCCACCCAGGAGGCAGGACAGGCCCAGCACGGGCTGGAGAGGTGCTTTGCTCCAGGGGACATGCAGCTCCACTGGACAAGCCCATCCTCACAGGGGCTCAGGTGGCTGAGCACTTCATAAACTCAATCCCTCTCCTTGCTGGGTGACAGCTGCAGCTCCAGAGACTGGCTTCACACCCAGCTTGCCTGCAGACTGTAGATGCGCTGACCTGCTGGCACCGACAGTCTGGTCAATGAGCCAGGTGTACTTCTAAGAATAGACTAATAGGACACTGCTCTCTTTTGCAGACTCATGTACCTGGTAGCCGTCTCCATTATCCATATATCTCCATATGTGCCAGGAGTGGTCAGCTACTCCGGGTGGGGGAGGGGTGCGGGAAGAGTGAAGAAAGTCTGAGGCAGGGTTATCATTGGGGAGTGGACCCTCCTTTCCCTGTCCTCCAAACCAGATCAGCAAAGTCTCCCCCTTCTGTCCAGTCTGCTGATTTGTGTCAGAGAAGCTTTGGGGGAAGGACGACGGGAATCGGACAGCAGGGGGAGTCTGCTTTGGACTATACAAGCTGTTCCTAAAGCCTCCAGTCAGACACGCCCCTCACCGCAGCAAGGACTGATTCACTCTGCAAAACCCACCTGGTCTCCACGAAGGCCTCCAGTTTCTACTGTTTGCAAAGCTTAGACCCTAGTATAAAAGCCTTAAAGCTTACTCATTGGTTGACCATGAAAGATACTGGCTCAAGTGATGTTCCTCGATACCCTGATGTCCCCCTCCACCTCCGGAAGTAGAATACGTGCGGTTCAGTGCACCCTCTGCACATGCTCTGTCCATCACCACGCTCCTCCTCAGTGTGAAACACTCACGGAGCCATTGTTTCGTCCACCCACCGAAAGCTTACTCAGGCCTCACTGTGTGTCGGGCACACTGCTGATCCCTGGGGACACGGTCGCTAACCGAAGAGACGCGTCCTTGTCTTGGGGAGCTGACAGACCCAGACAGGGATCACACACACAGGCAGGTGATCACGGCAGGGATGTGGGTGGTGCTGTGAAGGACAGTGGGGGCAGCTGTGAGGACGTGTGAAATGAGAGGGACTGGACCTCTTCACGGGTTTCCAGAAACTTCCCGGAGAGGTGGCTCTTGGGTATGTCCAAAAGATAAAGGGGTGAATGTGGGCGCAGAGGCATGGAGCAGTGCTTGAAGCAGAGAGGGGAGCGCAGGAGAAGGCCCTGGGCCAAGCTCACCGGGGCGGGTATGAGTGGAGGAAGAACTAGCTGGAAAGGTGCAGGTGAGGGGTCAGGTTTCATCCCCAGGGCAATGAAGAGACTGAGCGCCTGGCTCCCATTGTGCTGACCTCTTAGCTATTTTAGAGATCAGAAAGATGTCTCACCGGTGCCCTTGACCTTTCGAGCCTGATTACTTGAAGCCCTATTTGGAGACAGGAAAAGTGACCACTGAAGCCATTTTCTAAACCAGAGGTTATGACCAGCTGTTAGAAGCGTCATTGTCCACAAGGGGGCATACTTCTGCTACCAATGAGTCAGCACCGCTAGGTGGCTCTGTGGGCGGAGGGAGGCGGGAACAGTGGGCTGGGCTTCCCTTGGCTCCTTCTGGCAAGTCCTGGTGTAGGTTCCCTGGGTGAGTACAAAGTTATCAGCCTGGGGTGGAGATGCAAACGGGACTTTGCACCGGGAAATATTTGTGTCTAAGCAGGGGAGTTGCAGGGAA